TCCTGGCATGGTGTAGCCAGCTGAATCAGTAAAGGAAAGATGAGCTTAGCCTCACCAGTGTTCAATATTGTTTATACCTATGTGTAAGCTCTCTCTGAAGAGGATGGATGACATATCCATCTTGGGATCATGAAGGGACAGAGGTGGGCAAAACAAGGAGGCAGGCAGTCATGGCCCTGCAGAATTCTCCACACATTATATATCCTTCCAAAGCTCTATTACTAAAAGGTTCTGGTGTGCAACAATTGTGCCCTAAGATGTGAACATAAATCTGTCGGCACCGTGACGTATGATAAACGGTGAACCCATAGATATCGCAGTGTGTCAATGTAGGAAGGTCAAGTGTAGTAGGATCCAATCTTCAGTCAGCACAGCAGCTTCACAAAGTAGAGCAAAACACAGTATCTCTGTCTGGGCTGACGCTGGCACCCTATTTCCTATAAAGTGCACTACTTTTGTCCTGGGCCGATAGGGCTCTGTTCAAAAGTAGTGCACTGTATAGGGAATAGGGTGTTGGCCCTGGTCAAAAGTAGTGCACTATATAGGGTGCCATTTCAGACGCAGGCTCTGTCTCAGCTGAGGCTGGCAGCTCTGAATCTGAACTCCTGCTAGAGGACTTCTGCCTGCACAGTTTCACGGACAGGGGCTGCCGCCTGCTACTGCAGCCTATCAAAAACGCATTACCCATTCCAGTCCACCCCCCTCCATCACGAGACTCGGCTGCCATACTGATTCAGGGCTCAGCACAGTACAGGCAGATGCTACTGGGGGCAGTTGGCCAGCAGCTAGCTAGGGTTTAAGAGGGTAACTCACAATGCATGACCCAAATCAGCAGCCAGTCACAACATTTTAGAGACACAATGGTAATGCTGAGCTGCATTGGCCAGCTGGTCCATGTGTGTAGGTTCTCTGTAGTATGTACTGAAGCCTAAATACTGCAACTGTGTCGGTCTGTGGCACGTCAGTCAGTCTGATGATGATTTAACTGAGTTATCAGATTACGAGGTCAGTCAGTGGTGCCAAAGGAACAACACTGCACATTTTGTATCAACGTGCCTTAGTTAAATTGGCCACCTGCCTCTAGACCAGTGTTTCCCAAACTCGGTACTCGGGACCCCAAGGGGTGCACGTTTTGGTTTTTGCCCTAACACTACACAGCTGATTCAAATTATCAAAGCTTAATGATTAGTTGATTATTTGAATCAGCTGTGTAGTGCTAGGGCACAATCCAAAACATGCACCCCTTGGTGTCCCGAGGCCCGAGTTTGAGAAACTCTACTCTAGATGGTTTGCTTACAATAAGATGTCACGTGTTGCAGTATTGCTCTCTCCCCCCAGTGACTGATGGTATGCTAAACATCAACAAAGGACGTTATGGTTAGCCATAAACCTAACCTGCTTGCCTGTCTGCAGTGTTGCCAACTTAGCGACTTTGTCGCTTTATTTAGCGAGTGTTCAGACCCCTCTAGCGACACATTTTCAAAAAAGCGACTAGCGACAAATCTAGCGACTTTTTCTGGTGTTATTGGAGACTCTGACGTGAAAGCACGTATCGTTCTTACTCTTCTCAACGAGCAGCGGGTGCTGCCGTGGGCCCCACCCCCGTCCCAAAGCATTCACGGCCCAGTCCTCGCGCAGCAGTCAGAGCAGGAGATGTTCACCCCTCCGCGTCCAGACTGCAAATGAATCGCGCATGTGGGAAGCCGCCGCTGGCTGATCCCGCCCTTATTTATTTGGGGTCCATTTAGATTGGTAACGTAGATTGTATACAAAAAAATTGTTAAAATGTTATGGTTAAAAATGTTCATGTTTTACTGTGACTTGTTGTAGGCTCCTAAGTGGACCATAAGGTTAAAAACCAAACCAAACTTAAGAAAACAAAAAAAATCCTCTCTCCTACAGCTTCCATCACAATTACATGCACATGGCCAATTATGCAAATTAGGTGATGGCGTCATTTAGCGACTTTTAGGACAGCCAATAGCTACTTTCCTTACTGAGGAGTTGGCAACTGCGTCTGTCGGCTGTATCTGGCCAGTTTTACCAGTGGGCAGTAGGGGCGCCACGTCACTGCTCTCTCGCCCGATCATATAGCAACAGCATGACCTACATGCTTTCCAGATTGGAGACAGGCAGCAGCCACTTTGCCTGAGGGTAAAACCCAATATCTATACAGCTGTATGACTTCTTTGCTCCATATTTTTATCCCCGGTGTACAATCAACTTTTATTGAAAATTAGTATCTCAAACCAATCGAAAAGAGAGGCACTTTGTACATTAATTGTATGGTTTTGCAGGGAAATGCATGCATGATAACCTAGATAATATGCAATAAAAAATGCAACCAGATCAAAGTAATGAAGGATACAAAAAATTATAATACAAAAAGCTGTAGTTCATCAATGAAATGTTACATACCAAAAATTACACTCAAAAATAATTTTATTTGAGTTAAAAATCACAACTGCTGCCATCTCTGGAGCTGTCATAGACAATGTACAGTAAGACAAAACGGAAGGAATGTTGCAACAATACAGTACTACATTGTAACAACGTAACTGTTACAACATTAACATATATTTAGCTTTACCTTTTAAAACGAATAAACAGTAAACTCCTCGGCTTGAAGTCCAATACCAGCACTAGCAAGGCAGTAGTTTGCGCAGTCATCTCCATAGCGGGCAATGTCATAACCCAACCAACAGCACAAACTACTACCTCAGCCAGTACATGGTCAAATGCCGATAGAAACACACTGACATAGCAGCACTCACAAGACAAAATTGCAAATTATAACATACACATTTGGCATCTATAATTCCGATCTGATACATACGGTTCCACTCGCCTGGTACTAGGTTACATTCATCCGACCTCCTGAGCAGACAGTCGTCTCATGAGCAGAGTTGAAATTTGAGGGAAACCCCGCCCAAGACATCCCCTAGTCTACTCCTCCCCTTTTCCCTGTGCACCAGACAACACTCAGTCCTTTCCCTCATTTGACTAAACCCCAAGCTCCAATTTGTTCGCAACAATGAAACACTTAACACTCGTTTTTGCGGACTGTTACCTTGAAGAAGATACATAGACGCAACCAAATAGAACATTATTTCACTTGCCCAATATAGAGTGGCTACAATGCTGCGTTGATGTGCTAGTCGGAACTGGGACATTTTCGACTTGCTAACTGGTTGTATACTGAACATAAATATAAACGCAACATGCAACAATTTCAAAGATTTTACTGAGTTACAGTTCATATAAGGAAATCAGTCAATTGAAATAAATAAATTAGGCTCTAATCAATTTCAACATGACTGGGCAGGGGTGCAGCCATGGGTGGGCCTTGGAGGGCATTGGCCCACCCACTTGGCAGGCAGGCCCACCCACTGGGGAGCCAGGCCCTGCCAATCAGAAGTTAGTTTTTTCCCTACAAAAGGGCTTTATTACAGACAGAAATACTCCTCAGCACACCCCTCAGACGATCCCGCAGGTGAAGAAGCCGGATGTGGAGGTCCTGCGCTGGCGTGGTTAAACGTGGTCTGCGAATGTGAGGCAGGTTGGACATACTGCCAAATTCTCTAAAATGACATTGGAGGCAGCTTATGGTAGAGAAATGAACATTCAATTATCTTGCAACAGCTCTGGAGGACATTCCTGCAGTCAGCATGCTAATTGCAAGCTCCCTCAAAACTTAAGACATCTGTGGCATTGTGCTGTGTAACAAAACTGCACATTTTAAAGTTGGCTTTTGTCCCCAGCACAAGGTGTACCTGTGTAATGATAATGCGGTTTAAACAACTTCTTGATATGTCACACCTGTCAGGTGGCTGGATTGTTTTGGCAAAGTAGAAATGCTCACTAACAGGATCTAAACAAATTTGTGCACAAAATTTGAGAGAAATAAGCTTTTTGTGCATATGGAAAATATCTGGGATTTTTTATTTCAGCTCACAAAACATGGGACCAACACCTTACATGTTGCGTTTATATTTTTGTTCAGTGTAGTTATACACGTGCCGCTTTCAACGAATTAGCAAGTTTTATATTTCCGACTAGCATGTGAACATGGCATAATACATCCCATGACCCTCACCCAGTCACCAGAGTTCCTCTGATACAACTTCGCAGGAAACGTCAGTGAGGAGGTTACTCGTTCAGGATTGTGGGAAATGCATTTTCTATATTTTAGTCATAGAAGACCAGCAAGCTTGCCTCTCACAATGTAAACAATATTCCAGCATAAACTAGGTCTGAGATTTCCGAGACTAAGCAAGCTCTGACATACAACAATCTCACATGCTTAAGAAAATGACACAGAGCATACATTCAAATCATTTACAGGGTTAAGGACAGGACATCACTGAGGCACACACAGAAATCAGATTATTGATTGTAGAACTGTCCCATTTATTTTATACAGACAAGTACATCCATTCTCAGGCCGGCTAATAGATTACATGGAATGTCCCAGTAAGATTTTTAATAAAATCTTAGCCGTTGAAAATGTCACAAAAGGTAATCTCATATTCCCCCCCCCCCCTCTCTTTTTAAAGATACATATAGCCCAAGTACTTTGTTTTTTCTTAATTACATCATCAACACTGTCACCACACACTGTACATCGACTCTCCTTTCAGGAAATCAAAATAAAACAAACTAAACCCAAAGAAAACACATTTTTTAATTTTATTTTACTGTAGCAGTTAATACACAAGTCCAGCCAGTCAGAATGACAATGGGAGGTGGTATCAACCAAAGTGTATTAGAAGCATACATTGATGATGTCATGTGTAGAAGGTCAGTCGTCGTCATTGTGGACCGAGCTGTCGTGGGGGGAGCTCAGTTACCACGGGTTACTGTCTGTTAGATGGGCTCACGGAGTAAAAGAGCCCGTCCGTCTATCCCCCTGTCCACTTGTATGAAGAAGTGTATGTTTCGGTCTCAGGAGGACACATTCACTATGAATTTCTTCATTATAAAAAGGGGGGTTGGTCTGGTCAGGATTCTCCGTTCTGAACTCTGGAGACGGGGGGCTGCATAAAGTCTTTGAAGGGGCCCAGGGCCTCCTTCAGCGCTGAGCTGACCTCAGAGGAGGAGCAGGTGATGCACTCCACCAGGGTAGGGTACAGGGCAATCACCTGGGCCCACGTGGTCCCATCCACTGTAGGGGGGCACACACCATGGGAAGGGGTGGGGAAAGAGGGAAGCAGAGCGGAGAACATGTGCAATGAATAGGAGATGTGGGGATTGGAAAGGAGAGGAGGGCAGAGGAGAGGAGTGGGAATAGGAAAGGAGAGGAAGAGGAAAGAGGAAAGGGAGAAGGACAGAGGAGAAGAGAGGAGAGGAAGGCAGAGAAGAATAGGACAGGAGAGGTAAAGGAAGGAGAGGCAGAAGAGTGAAAGGAGAGTGAAAGGAGAGACAGACAGACGTGAGAGAGGAAGCAATTAAATAAATCATTATTTTCCATTAGAAAGCCAGAGGCAAATGTAAATGTTTTTTGTCTGGATAAATTAGGATATAAACAACCTCAAGGGTACTTTTGCATGCCTCTGTGATTCCAAAAATCAAACATTGTACATACAAATCTCTCTTCAGAATTAAATTGCATTTGCAAACATTGTCCCATTGTACTGTGACACGGTGATCTGAAATACTAGATGATCGATATAGTAAAATAATTATCTGTGTCTGTTTTCTAAGTTCTTTACTTCTACTCACCATTTTCTGGCTGGGTCTTTTTAAGTGAGTCCATCAAAGTGCTGATAGCTTTTAAGACAAAGATGATTTCTGTCACTTGTTGCCTAGAAATAAATTATAAGGAATGGAACAATTATACTTAAATATTAATGTTGTGCATTTAAAAATAATAAAATAACTTGCATTCAGCACCATACAAGGGGACCAAACAGGGGACATACAATGAGCACCAACCTTCAAATCTCCAAACAAATCATAGGTACAACGTTTTCAATAAAAACCCTATTTGCAGCAGGAGACCTGAATATATGTAATTTGTTACAGTCAGTGTGGCATTTGCTCAAGTAATAGAGAAAGACCACAGAGAAATGGGACAGGGGCAGTTTGAAAACAGAAATGTGTATCTGAAGGATGCACATTTGATTATGCTATTAACCTGAGAAGTTGGCAATCAAGCTTCATCCTCTGTCCACTACGGAAGACAGTGAAAAGACTGTTACACTACGCTGCAATGGTAAACTAACACAGAACACATTCTTGGATGACAGAGCACCTACCAGGGAATGGGCAATTCCACACTAACAGAGTGACACAGACTCAGATTTTTCAAACAAAAACCAATGACTGCAAAGTTAAACAAAGCAACAGTGAAACATGTTGTCCCCCACGAATGATGCAGCTTTTGGGCCAATTGAGATATCACGTGTGACTAACACATTTCAGTTATCGTGTGTGACCACAGATTATCCATTATATTGACCCGATGCTCAAGAGGCCACTCGAATTATGAAAATAAATGTCTTAAAAAATGGAAGGTAGTTAGCCTGGGTACCAGTCTCTTTAGCTAATCCACTCCCTCTACTCCATGTCATGTGCCAAATACTTTTTTGCAATGACAAGTAGTGGCAAGGAGTGGACTGTTCGCTATAGAGACTGTTACTCAGACTAGAAGGCAGTCAGGAGGAGGCAAGATCAGGTGGGACCATTCTAGCCAATGATAGGGCAGATACGCGTGTGAACAACAGGCACAACTCCAATATAACATGTTTTTTTTCTCAAAGTTACCGGGTTGTCGCGTGTCCTACTTATCAGTACACTCATAACAACCTAAGCACTACGAAACGTATATTAAATCAAATAAGCCACACGTAGCAAATAAGCCATTCGACACTCTCTCATTGACCACAAAAACTCCTTGCTTGGTAAAAAAAACTAAAAAACGCCACCTGCTGGAGAAGACAGATTTTGGGCCCAGTCATCCCTCTCGCTTCCTCTCTGGGTTGACTCACAAATTTCAGTTAATTGATAGCTCCCACCTTGGGCCAATCAGTGTAATTTTGTAAATACCGGATCTCTATGGCAAGACGCATCATTCACCCAAGTTTGGTCAAAATTGGGCTAGTGCTGTCTGAGATATCACGTGTGACTAACGAATGGACGAACGGGCGGAGACCGATCCACAGTCCCCTCCCCGTTTTCATCACGGGGACAACAAATCATACAACTTGACACACAAGGACTACTTTTAACAATTTCCACAGAAAATGTTACAAAAACTAATTTACTTGATGAACAGTGCAGATGCAGAGTTTGGTAACAGAATGACGGGTTGTGCTGTTTGTGCCATCATTCTGTTATCAAACTTTGCATCTGCACTGTTCTTCAAGTAAATGTGTTTTTGTACAATTTTCAGTGGAAATTGTTAAAATAATTCATTGTACATAGAGTTGTATGTTTTTTTAGAACTTTGCAATCATTGGTTTTTGTTTGAGATATATTTTAAAGTGAAAAATCTGAGTCACTGTCCCTGTTACCGTGGAATTGCCTGAATCTACCCCGTATGAATACCAAGAGAATAAAAGAGAAAGAATGAGAGAGAACCCAGAGGATTGTGGATGGAGAAACTGATGCCAGTTCTCAGCTGAAGTACCAGTGTAAGCCCTCTCTCTTGTTGAATGCTAATGTTGTGTAATATGTTCATAAACACTCTTCACAAAATCAAAATGGCCTGAGTTTTGGTGCATTTACCCTCTACTACATCCCTGTCCCGGGGGTCTTGTAGTAGCAGCAGTAGAGGTGATGGTGGTCTTCTAGGGCTCTTGTTTTAGTGGTGTTAGTGGACTCACCTGGGCAGCGGGCAGCGTCCACTCAGCCTCTCATCGTCCACGTAGCGCCTCAACACGTCCTGGGACCTTTTGAGGAGCACAGAGAGGGCCATGCGGGAGATGTAGCCTTCCTGGGGCGTGGACACCTTGTTACTGAAGGAGAACTGGAGCAGCGTCTCAAAACACACCTTGGAGAACTCCTCCCGCATCCGCACGTCTATCTCTGCCTCTGTGGATGGTAGGAAAGACATGCTTAGAGGTGATGCAGTAGAAAAGATCAGCGCTACACAGTAAAGCTTATCTCCTTATTTTCTTTAGGTGATGCTAGAAATGTCCTATTGTTATTAATTATAGCATCAGTAATTAAAGAAAAATATGATCCTATTGTTGCCAGCAGAATAAAAAGGTATTCGGGAAAAAAGGTATGGCCCCCGTTAGGGAATCTTCGGTGGAAAAAGCATGAGCTTTTGGAATAAGAGTGGGTATTTCTGACCCAGTGCTGTTTTCTTACCTGTAAATGAGGAGGACTGTGAGTGAATGGATCCTTTATTTAGCATGGTCATAATCTGACCAACAAAGTCTTTGGGGATGAAGTTGGCAAACGGTAAAATCTCTGTGCTGATCAGCTGCACCACCTACAGAACACACAGAGAAGACACAAACAGACCTCAGTGATGGGCAGTTAGTAAAGGCAGTAATCTAATTCAAAGATTGTTTGAAGTGAAGTCAGTCAGGTGTTACCTCAACGTCAATGGCTTCATTCATCTGGAACTCCTGGATGGACACATTGTCTGGAGGTGTGCTGTAAAACAACAGAAACAGAAATGCAGTCAATTAGCCATTGCTTTACCGCTAATCAAGCCCCATTCCTCAATGCATTGTCTATAGTGAATCCATTACTGTTTCCTAGACTCTAAGGAATATGCAGGTGCATCAAAATGTCAGTCTGTCAGACTTGTTTTAAAGGCGCAATATTGAGAAATCGCTCCGCCATTCCCTGGTTGCTAAAATTCTATCATGTTCGCCTACTTTCCATTTATGTGACAAAACAAGCAAGTGTAGAGAATCATTGTACAATCTAAACCACGGTGAAATATTTTTCAATATCCAAAAATATTGTATTTTCAGCTGGTGTACAAAACCGAAACTAAAAGGACTCAGAAGCGAAAACTTAAGAATGGGAAGCATAGAAATAGTGCACATAGAACAAATCTACCTCTTACCAGACTTGCTTTCAATGAGAATAACAGATCTATAACATTAATTTCTATGTGAATCTGCTCAAGTTGCCCAGAGAGCTACATACTAGACCTCTAAACTCTTTGAATAAGAAAATACCAATACAACACAAGCTTTTTAAAAGGTAAAAGGGAGTGCCTCAGATATTTTTGATGAACTTCCTGAGAAATGGGGTACCTACCTTTTGGTGAAGAGGAAGTCTTCAAAGGCGTTGGCCAGCTCTGGCCACATGGTTTCAAACATTCCAGAGGAGGCATGCTGGCGGGCCACGGGCAGTCCGATGGACAACACCTTGAGCAGGGACGAAACGGCCAGCTTCCATGTGCTCTCTGACGGACATGCATACTTCAGGCCCAGGGGCATCCGCAGGGTCTATGCAGTGGTGGAAAAAGTACCTAATTGTCATACTTGAGTAAAAGTGAAGATACCTTAAAAGAAAAGGACTCAAGTAAAAGTCACCCAGTAAAATACTACTTGAGTAAAAGTCTAAAAGTATTTGGTTTTAAATGTACTTAAGTATCAAAAGTAAATGTAATCGCTAAAATATACTTAAGTATCAAAAGTAAAAGTATGAATTATTTCAAATTCCTTATATTAAGCAAACCAGACAGCACGATTTTCTTGTTTTTAAAATTTACGAATAGCCAGGGGCACACTTCAACACTCAGACATAATTTACAAATGAAGCATTTGTGTTTAGTGAGTCTGCCAGATCAGAGGCAGTAGGGATGACCAGGGATGTTCTCTTGATAAGTGTGTGAATGAGAGAATTTCCCTGTCCTGCTAAGCATTCAAAATGTAGCTAGTACTTTTGGGTGTCAAGGAAAATGTAAGGAGTAAAAAGTACATTATTTTCTTTAGGAATGTTGTAGTGGAGTAAAAGTAGCCAAATATATAAATAGTACAGTAAAATACAGATACCCCCAAAAACGACTTAAGTATTACTTTAAAGTATTTTTACTTAAGTACTTTACACCACTGGGTCTATGGAGGAAGGAGAAAAAGAGCTGGGTTAGAACACAATGGGAGTCTTCAAAGTAGGGCCTAGCCTGCTTGCCAGGTCTGTTGGTGCTTTAGCAAACGCCTAGCCTCGATTTCCAGGCTATTTCCTCAGGATCCAAGGAGAGAGAGGGTAAAGGGGAAATTAAGATCACTAGGGTTAATATTTAGATGTAGTGTGATTGAGATAATGTGTAGCATATTCAGAGTCTCTGTAACAAGAGGGGGAGGGCTAATGGTAACACAATGGGAGTCTTCAACATATGGACATGCCTGGTGCCAGATCTGCTATTGCAGTTGAACAATTACACTGACAGACTCAGAGGAACACTGAGGGGGAAAAAGTATTCCTGATGGTGTTGTGTGTGACTCAGTAATGACGCAGAGACCTACAGGTGTATCATCAACCACAGACGCATCTAAACTAAACAACTGGAGCTGTTGAGGCATTGACGTTAATGCCTTTTAGTCTCAAAAACATGGAAAAATAAGCAACGGAACAGAAACAGACAAGGTTTTATGGTTATGACCTTTCTCAGGAGAGGGAGAGGAGGATGGGGTTGGTTTGAACATATCCATAGGGAAACTCGTAATGAGTTCTTGGCAGAGTGCTCTTCTAGTTTTGGGAATTGCTTTAATAAGAAGATAATGGAAGAGAGCGGTCAGATGGTCCCACACATATATCAGGCCTCAATGAGAAAGAACTTGGTATGCCATTGACCCACAGGAAACAATAGAGGAACTCCTGACAGCTTTATGAAGGGATGTTGTTTCCAACGACAAAGAGCAGCTCGTTTATGACAGAAACACTAGTCACTGGAGTATGATGATAGACTCCAATGGGAGATAAGATATTTAGAATGGTGTAGACATTAGGGAGTAGATCCACAACCAGAACTAGGAGTTCCAGTTTTCGAGCTACTCCTTTTACATGAACACTTATGAACAAATGAATATGTCTTGATGGTAATGTTGGAGACAGTACCTTGATGATGTTCTGTAGGACTTTCTGGTTGATGACAGCTTTGTGACAGGCTGTTTTGTGGTAGAGGTCCACCACCACCTCCAGGGACCTCTCGGCAAAGGGCACGTAGTTTAAGGCAACCCATTCTGCCTGTAGAGAAAGAGAGAGAAGGAACGAGAGAGTGAGAAAGAGAAAGAGGGATTACCTAAAGTTGAAAACATCCCTCTGCGTAAATACTAAGAGGACCAAAGCACCATAAAACTTGAAATAGAAATACATGTACAAATATGGACGACACCCAAACACAGTCAGTAAGATAAGTGATATGAGGATGGGACTTGACAGGTAGGTAGTAGGGACAGATAGAGGCATCACCACTTGTTAGTGGCAGACAGAACAAAGAGGGGTAGGTAACATGGAGTGAGTGATGTAGATGAGGCTTTTCACCCACTGCATGGTAGGACCTCATCTACTGTAGTAGTGATGGGACCATTGAGCAGTAGTACACAGCTGAATACAGTTGAGTAAGAGTACTAAAGGGGGCTGAAGGAGGGAGGTGGTAACTCACCGGAGCAAACAGTTGGATCTAAAGGTTGATCCAGTGAGTAGATCGATAGTACGACACAAAAACAGAACAATGAGAAGATGGGAATTAACTTGTTTGCTGGTGCCTGGCGTTCTTATACCAACTTGTTGCCACTGACCAATTGACTGACAGTGGCAATCATGTTTGTTAATGGTTTGATTGAGCAACAGACAGTATAAAACTGACAGGTCAACTGACAGACAGACTTGGAGATTTTACTTCAGAGTGAGCGAGTAGCGTTAATTAGCATAGGTGATTCAACCACCACCATGAAAACAAAACCACTCATCAATATAGAAAAGGAGCTGGTACACCAGATTCTTAACCAAATACCAGATTTGACAGTATTCTTTTGTAAGTGTGAGAATACACAAAAGTTAGGAAAACACTGAGTAAGATCCTAGCTTTCTTTTAAAGCAGGGGTCGGCAACAGGCGGCCCAGTAATCTTTTTTGCCCCCCCCCCCAAAGTTTTTAGTAAATAAATATATAATAACATATATACAGTGCTGTGAAAAAGTATTTGCCCCCTTTCTAATTTTCTCTACTTTTGCATATTTGTGATACTGAATGTTATCAGATCTTCAACCAAAACCTAATATTAGATAAAGGGAACCTGAGTAAACAAATAACACAACAATTACATACTTATTTCATTTATTTCATAAACAAAGTTATGCAAACCCACTGCCCTTGTGTGAAAAAGTAATTGCCCCCTTACACTCAATAACTGGTTGTGCCACTTTTAAATGCAAAGACGCTTCCTGTAGTTGTTGATTAGTCTCTCAGGAATTTTGGCCCACTCGTCCATGCAGAACTGCTGTAACTCAGCGACATTTGTGGGTTTTCAAGCATGAACTGCTCGTTTCAAGTCCTGCCACAACATCTCAATTGGGATTAGGTCTGGACTTTGACTAGGCCATTCCAAAATGTAAAATGTGTTGCTTTCTAGCCATTTTTATGTAGACTTGATTGTGTGTTTTGGATCATTGTTTTGCCGCATGACGCAGCTGCGCTTCAGCTTCAGCTCACAGATGGATGGCCTGACATTCTCCTGTAGAATTCTCTGATACAGAGCAGAATTCATGGTTCCTTCTATTAAGGCAAGTCGTCCAGGTCCTGAGGCAGCAAATGCATTCCCAAACCATCACACTACCACCACGCCTGACAGTTGGTATGAGGTTGTTACTGTGGAAAGCAGTATTTGGTTTTGCTCTGCATTAGAGAATTCTACAGGAGAATGTCAGGCCGTCTGTGAGCTGAAGCGCAGCTGGGTCATGCAGGGGAATTGGGTGTTGCGTAACTTTGTTATTTAAATAAATTAAATAAGTATCTTTTTTTTCCCTTATTTGTAAACTCAGGTTCCCTTATCTAATATTAGGTTTTGGTTGAACATCTGATAACATTCAGTATCAAAAATATGCAAAAATAGAGTAAATCAGAAATGGGGCTTCGTTGTGGTCAATTTGCATTGTACAAATTATTATAATTATGTTCCTGCCCCATTTCTGATTTAATCCCCCCCCAAACAAAAAATATCGGCCCGCGGCTGAGTCTAGTTGCCTACCCGTTTTAAAGATTCCCTTCTGTTTTGAACTTAGCGTGAACAAAGACGGTATCATCAACTAGCCTACAAAAAAAGGGGTTGTACGAGTTAAGTGAATCAATAAAAACGTAGACTTCATAGGGTCTAATTTGTCCTTCATTCTGAGAAAAGGGAAGAATCATGAACTTGGTCTGTGACCTGCCAAAAACCTGAAAAAAGTAACCTAGCGGCTAGCGTGCTGCCAGCCTGAAGGGCTAGCGTGAATGAGAGAGAAAGAAGAGGGATGGTTTAGGGCTGCTGCTGCGGTTTGAAAGACCCAGCTATATGTCATGTGATTAGGACAATAGGGAACGGCAGGGCACATGAGGACCAGACGAAAGCAACGGGAGGAGCTTCATGAACGAGAGGGGGAATGACCATGTTCAGAAAGTGTGGAGAGAAATGGATGACAGGCGTTTCAACAACATTCCATTCATGAAAATATCGGAGATATTTAGACAACGAGAGAGAAAGAGAGAGGAAGACAAACTTGCACACAAAGCGATAGAGAAAGACAACGGCAGAGAGAGCTTGTGATTCGTTACCTGGTTGTATTTAGCGTTGGCCACATGTTTGGTTTCCAGCTTGCCGTACTGGGGGGGTTTGCAGGAGAACTCGACAAAGAGGAGCAGCTGTTCGAATATGGCCGGGTACATGACCTGCAGGTTCTCTGGGCCCACACAGATGGCCTGCAGAGGGAGAGACAGGAACCTTACTCACTACTGACTTCACTAGAACCAGGTGAACTCACTCACTACTGACTCCCAATCATATATTGTTCCATCAGCTTCAATAGCACATTAAGTGCAGGAGAAAAATAACATTTTCCAAAATTGCCATGCTAGTTTCTATAACACAGAGGACAAAGAAGTGGAAACATCTACTCAAAAGGGACCTTTTGGAGCTTGGAACAGTGTGTGGATCAGACTACTAGCTAAATTCAGCTCCTGGAAAATGCCTTTGGCTGTTCATATAACAACCCTTTATAAAAAAGTTATGTATCTGGTGTGGCAGCCCACCCACCTTCTGCAGCACGTCGAGTGCTGTAAGCACAGCCTCCTGGAGGCTGGTGAGAACAGCCTCGGTGTAGGAGGGTAGGATGAAGGGCGAGGCATCACTGCTGATCGGTATGGACACGGCCCCATGGAGGATCACCCCCAGCTTCTTCAGGTCCTCCATGCTGAAGCCAGTCTTAATGTGCTGGTAGAGGGCAGGGAAGATCTGGACTAACGCTGTCAGAAAGGGCTGGCTGGGGATGAAGGAGGGTCTGTCTGTCCCCGTCCCGCCAATAGGGGGCCTCGTGCTGTCCGTGCCCGTCCGGTACCAAGTGTTCCATGCTGACCACCACAGAGCTGCGTCCTCCAGCGCTGACTCCTCCCCCGGGGGAGGGGCCTGGAGTTCAGCTCCATTGTAGCGCGTCAGCCTCTCAAGCATCGAGTCGGAGCGCAGCAGGGGTCTGCCGGGGCCCGAGGCGCTGAGGGGGTCGATGAGGACAGGGGGGACGCCCATGACGGCCAGGGCGAGGGCCTCGGTGGGCATGGCGGAGTCCTTGACAGGTGTGCCAATCTGGAGGATCTCTTGGAAGGACTTGAGTGCGGCCAGGGAGACCTCGCTGTTCTTACTGAGGGCAGCAGACTGGATGTGGTCCAGCAGCACTTCCCACGCCTTGAAGAAGTCACCTGTGGAGTGGACACACAATCAGATAAGAAGGTAATTGTTGGGCTTAATTTATTAAAGTTATTCTATTGATTGTATTGTATTAAAGGTATTGTATTGCAGATGCGTGGAGACAGGATAAATGCATTGACAGGAGTAGGAGTACCATCCGTAGAGCACAATATCTTTATTATTTACCATTGTCAACTGAGTTAGAAACTAGACTGACGGCTTTATGAGATCATATCTATCTACAGTAGCAGGCAACTGATGCAGACGCACGCACACACACACACCTAGCTGCTGCAGCAGGTATCTCCTGGTGTTGAAGATACGAGCTACCCCTGCCAGCGTCAGCACCCAGGTCTCCGCCCACTGTTTCTCAGCCGTGTCCCGTGAGTGGTGGATGAGGATGTTCCCGCCCCCTGACTCAATCTTCTCCTTATCGGCCGTGGAGGAAGACTTCCTCACACAGTCTAGCAGGTGGAACAGTACCTGGTTTTACACAGACATAAATGTAGTCAATATGGACCGCAAGAGGGCAGATTACAAATAAGGTTGTTACAAGCATACTGGGTATAAAGTATTAGCTTCAGCACTTGATCACGTATGATCATTCAATTGATAGATCCCAAAAGTACAATTCCATGATAGACGAGGCCCAGTGACTGAACATTTGATTACCTTTCGGTACATCATAGGAGTCTACAGCCAGAGACATGCATTATTCAGGACTAACTTTCTCTATGATTATTGTAATTGACTGAACGGAATACCTTCCAGGCGACGATGTGCCATGTGGGCTGCTGCAGCAGGGTGCCGTGGGCAGCGATGGTGGAGAACATGGTCTGACCAGCGCTCTTCCTCACGGCAGGCCGGGGATCCACACACAGCTGGCCCAGCTTGGCGTACAGACACAGCCACAGGCAGTCGAAGGGAGGGGCCGGGTGGAAGGGCCTGTTCAGGGGCTCACCCTTCTCATGGGCCTGCTTCTGCAACGCTGCCTCCTCCCTCTCTAGCTCCTGGGTGATGGCCTCGCCCCTCTGGAAGAAGTAGTCTGAGATGTTCCACTTTTGGGGAAAACAGGGAGAGAGAGAGGTTGATTAAATCACTAGTACAGACTGTCACTTTCAAAGATCATGTTGAAATACTAGAAAGGTAACGATTTGGGGGGACGCAACAGCAATTATAAGCTTTGTATAACCGCAGCAGCAATATGAACTAGAATGAAGTAAAAACTCAATACAATATAGAATATAAAACAATATGCAATACGCTGCAGTTGTACCAGGAGTCCTATGGAGGTGAGGCTGATGTTGAGCTCCTGGTTCTGGAGGCCGAAGCTGCCGGCTACATCCACCACGATCTGGAGGCACGTGCAAGGCATGGTGGGGAGGAAGTCAGTCACCACCAACTGCAGGCACTGGAAGGCTGTTCGGATCAACGACTCTCTAGGCGACAGGGGATAGACAGACACTTGTCAGACTCCTACACAAACACAGAGAGACTAGCCAACTACTAGACAACAGAGGAAATACAGCATGTTAAGCTGAAATAGGTTTTAAAAAGGGTTTCATCTCAGCTTTAAAATATCAAGGAGCTTTTCCCTCTGCTTCATCCATCCCCCTGTCACTCCCCCTCTCCCTCCTCTCTCTCACCCCTGGTTGTTGCGGATGGCCCCTATGACCCCCAGCACTAAGGGCCAGCCGGGCCCCAGACTGTCCCCCTGGCTCTGGAGGATCTGCAGCACGCTCTCAAGCTGCTTCTGACGGATGTCTGCATGGAGCACGTTGGACAGCTCCTTCAAAGGGTTCAACAGCAGGAGCTGCAGCCTCTGTCAGAGGGACAGAGAGACAGAGAGACAGAGAGAGAGAGAGAGAGAGAGAGAGCGGGAAAGAAAGGGACAGAGGGAGAGGATAGGGAGTGGTTATAATACATAAACAACGACAAGCATACAAACCACTGCCTTAAGATATATAATGTCAACTATGTGTTGGTGGGTTGGCATGGTGAAGCTGGCTAATAGCAAGTCATCTTATCACCTTCCATTGCATTGTAACAGTCATCCGACTTCTAGATAGAATAGGTTACAGTAGTCCCTGTATTTGGGTTACTATGTGACTGGGTGAAGATGAGAGAGATGGGGTAGTAGTAGTACCTGGTTCTGTGCTAAAGGGGGATTGTGCTTGTAGGCCAGGCCAGCTTTGATGAGGGCGGTAACAGCCTCAGCCCCCCACTCTCTCATCCTGGCGTTGTGATGCTGGCAGACCTGCAGCAGATAACATCATAGGGTAGGGTACACACACACACAGGAGCACGGAGAGAGAGAGAGAGAGAGAGAGAGAGAGAGAGAGAGATCAGACACATCACACAGTACACACACACAGGCATTGCAGAGGGAGGGGGGGAAAGAGAGCGTGGGGAGGGGGGAGAAAGCGGGAGAGAGGAAGGGATGGGAGAGAGAAAAGAGAGAATGAAAGAGAGCGATATTGATAGAGAGAGAGCAAGGGATCTGAGTCAGGGGCTGTTCAAACAGTATGTCCACCTGTTTTTCACAGCAGGTTAAAACAGAGACTGTATGCCTGTGATTTTCTGTTCGCCCAACATTGAAATTAAGGTAATTCCATTTGACAGACACATAACCATGAAAGCTCTGGTAAAATCAGCTAGCTTTCGTTGCTTTGCATTGCTGCACATTTCACTATTCCCCTGGGCTGTTAGCTACACCAACAGTGAGTGAGATGCCATATTGGCATCATCCTTTACAGCCCACAAGTGTCTGTGTTGTCTACTTGTTGGCCAACGTGAAACAAGTGTGTGACTTGCCTAGAAAGGCTGGCATATCATGAGAGCTGATAAGGTAAGATGCATTAAATGTGCAGGTATCTGTATATGGAGGACTAAAAGTGCCACAATTAAATAAATAAATACACCATTAAATAATTACTTAAATGTGTCATTAATTAATTCAAATTAGAATTAAATACATAAATGTGTAATTAAATGTATCATTAATTAATTCAAATACCGATTCATTTTATGTAAAATACATATATAATTATTTCACTATTTACATTTACATTTCATGATCCTGCATTGCAGTGATTCATGAATTACTTAAAACTGTCAAACTGACCCATCAAAGTCAGTGGGCGGGGCTAACGCGAATCTAGTCTGATCCATTGCTTTGGTCTGAAGTAGAGTAGGCCAACCTGGATAGAGACAATGGAGGATCTCCGTGAACTTTCCAGGGAGTTGGTTAGAGACATTTTAAACTTAGCAGAGGATGTAGAAGCAGGACCTGCTGACATTATCCGGAATTGATTTGTCTTGGCTTGATGCAGAGGGTAACCAATCAGGCGTTAGGTTCCGCCTACCAACTTTTGATGGGTCAGTTTGACAGTTTTAAGTAATTCAGGAAGCACTCCAACGCAGGACCATGAAATGTAAATGTAAATAGTGAAATTATTATATATGTATTTTACATAAAATGAATCGGTATTTGAATTAATTAATGACACATTTAATAACACATTTATGTATTTAATTCTAATTTTAATTAATTAATGACACATTTAAGTAATTATTTAATGGTGTATTTATTTATTTAATTGTGGCACTTTTAGTCCTCCATATCTGTATAGTATGCATACAAACAAACACAAGAGTTCCAAAAATGCAACTCATGTGTGCGAGGACATTTTGATCAAACATAACAGCGAAGCAAACATAAATCTGTTGCAAGCTGCACACTCTCAGCTCCAACACCTTGATGCCAGGCGGAGACAGACGGAATGAAAGAGAAAGAGAGAGAAAGCAAATGATTGGGAGGAGAAGTTTCCGAGCTTACCTTCTGCAAAACAGACATGGGTTGCAAAAGAGAGGGAGATAGAGAAAAGACAACTTAAAGAGAACCGTTTGTTTCAGACAAACACACACCCATACACACAGAACCGATACAGTCAAATATATTGGCACCCTTGCACTTCACAATGGAGTGCAATATTATTATTATTTTTTAAATTTATTTCACCTTTATTTAATCAGGTAAGCCAGGTGAGAACAAGTTCTCATTTACAACGCAATGAAGCAGAATGCTCTGTTTTCTCTTTTCAAAACTGGTTGAATCGCTATTTTTACCCTGCAACTTACCACAGGTGAGGTAAATTACACATAAACGAGAATCACTTATCTCCAACGAAATTAATTCACATTTATTTTTATTTTATTTAACCAGGAAAAGCCCATTGAGACCCAGAGTCTCTTTTTCAAGGGAGACCTGGCCAAGAAGGCAGCAACAATCAATACATTACAGAATTAAAACATACAACAACATGATCCACTCCTCTGTAACAGAGTCTCCCATCAAAATGTTAAATTCATCCAGTGGCACAGTAAATCATTTAGTCCAGGCCTTTTTTGACTTTGAAAAATCGCATTTGCAGTTTATATATTTTTCTTCTTATTTGTGCAGTTGAAAATCAAACAAATACACATGTGAACACAAAGTGTTTTCAATTTTAACTTATTTTTTGAAGAAACAGGGAATCGTGTAAGGGTGGCAATATATTTGACCGCATTTGTAAAGCTATATCACTATGACTAAATAGCATTAGAAATGGGAGAGTCCCTACCATGATATGAGAGGGCTTGAAAAGTATGTACCAAAGGACATACAGCTACATGCTACAGCATATCCAAAAAACCCACTTCACTAACCTGGCCCCAGATCCGTTTGTGCTCTTTTACTAGCAGCAACTCCATTGCTGCCATTGTCAAGGCATGACAATTCCAGAAGGAGTTGGCAAGAGAACAGAAACAGACTTGCACACAGTCTACCACTTCACTACCCTCTTCTTCCATTACAAGGTCTAAAGTAGACTATAATGTTGACTATAAGACATACCTCCAGCAGATGTCCAGTGAGGGGCCTCCACAGGATCTCTATACGGTCCATGTTGACCAGGCCAGTCTCCAGCAGCTTGGCCACCGCAAACAGAGACGGCTCCTTGACACAGGACGAGAACAGAACATAGGAGTGATTCGTTTGGAGGATATAGGTATTAAGCAATAAGGCCCGAGGAGGTATGGTATATGGCCAAAAAAGTATTTAGTCAGCCACAAATTGTGCAAGTTCTCCCACTTAAAAAAGATGAAAGAGGCCTGTAATTTTCATCATAGGTACACGTCAACTATGACAGACAAAATGAGGGGAAAAAATCCAGAAAATCACATTGTAGGATTTTTTATGAATTTATTTGCAAATTATGGTGGAAAATAAGTATTTGGTCACCTACAAACAAGCAAGATTTCTGGCTCTCACAGACCTGTAACTTCTTCTTTAAGAGGCTCCTCTGTCCTCCACTCGTTACCTGTATTAATGGCACCTGTTTGAACTTGTTATCAGTATAAAAGACACCTGTCCACAACCTCAAACAGTCACACTCCAAACTCCACTATGGCCAAGACCAAAGAGCTGTCAAAGGACACCAGAAACAAAATTGTAGACCTGCATCAGGCTGGGAAGACTGAATCTGCAATAGGTAAGCAGCTTGGTTTGAAGAAATCAACTGTGGGAGCAATTATTAGGAAATGGAAGACATACAAGACTACTGATAATCTCCCTCGATCTGGGGCTCCACGCAAGATCTCACCCCGTGGGGTCAAAATGATCACAAGAACGGTGAGCAAAAATCCCAGAACCACACGGGGGGACCTAGTGAATGACCTGCAGAGAGCTGGGACCAAAGTAACAAAGCCTACCATCAGTAACGCACTACGCCGCCAGGGACTCAAATCCTGCAGTGCCAGACGTGTCCCCCTGCTTAAGCCAGTACATGTCCAGGCCCGTCTGAAGTTTGCTAGAGTGCATTTGGATGATCCAGAAGAGGATTGGGAGAATGTCATATGGTCAGATGAAACCAAAATAGAACTTTTTGGTAAAAACTCAACTCGTCGTGTTTGGAGGACAAACAATGCTGAGTTGCATCCAAAGAACACCATACCTACTGTGAAGCATGGGGGTGGAAACATCATGCTTTGGGGCTGTTTTTCTGCAAAGGGACCAGGACGACTGATCCGTGTAAAGGAAAGAATGAATGGGGCCATGTATCGTGAGATTTTGAGTGAAAACCTCCTTCCATCAGCAAGGGCATTGAAGATGAAACGTGGCTGGGTCTTTCAGCATGACAATGATTCCAAACACACCGCCCGGGCAACGAAGGAGTGGCTTCGTAAGAAGCATTTCAAGGTCCTTGAGTGGCCAAGCTAGTCTCCAGATCTCAACCCCATAGAAAATCTTTGGAGGGAGTTGAAAGTCCGTGTTGCCCAGCGACAGCCCCAAAACATCACTGCTCTAGAGGAGATCTGCATGGAGGAATGGGCCAAAATACCAGCAACAGTGTGGGAAAACCTTGTGAAGACTTACAGAAAACGTTTGACCTGTGTCATTGCCAACAAAGGGTATATAACAAAGTATTGAGAAACTTTTGTTATTGACTAAATACTTATTTTCCACCATAATTTGCAAATAAATTCATTAAAAATCCTACAATGTGATTTTCTGGAGTTTTTTTTCTCATTTTGTCTGTCATAGTTGACGTGTACCTATGATGAAAATTACAGGCCTCTCTCATCTTTTTAAGTGGGAGAACTTGCACAATTGGTGTCTGACTAAATACTTTTTTCCCCCCACTGTACCATGGCTAATGGCTGTTCTTACGCACGACGCAACGTGGAGTGCCTGGATACATTTACATTTTAGTCATTTAGCAGACCCTCTTATCTAGAGCAACTTAGAGTTTGTGTATTCATCTTAAGATGGCTAGGTGGGACAACCTCATATCACATTCATAGTAAGTAAAATCCTCAGTGAAGTAGCTATCAGCAAAGTCAGCGGGGGGGTGGGGGTGCGAGGGGGGTTTGTGGGATTATTTAAGATACTCTTTGAAGAGGAGATAGGCTTTCAGATGTTTTCGGGAAGATGGGCAGGGACTCTGCTGTCCTAGCTTCAGGTGGAAGCTGGTTCCACCATTGGGGTGCCAGGACAGAGAAGAGCTTGGACTGGGCTGAGCGGGACTGTCCTTCTGTAGGGGTGGGAGGGCCAAGAGACCAGAGGTGGCGTGTAGGGTTTGGACATAGCCTCCGTAGACAAGTACCATGGTCTTGTAGTGGATGCGAGCTTCGACTGGAAGCGAGTGGAGTGTGTGGAGGAGTGAGGTGACATGGGAGAACTTTGGAAGCTTGAACACCAGGTGTTGCGTTCTGGATAAACTGCAGGGGTTTGATTGCACAAGCAGGGAGCCCAGCCAACAGCGAGTTGCAGTAGCCAGACGGGAGATGACAAGTGCCTGGGTTAGAACCTGCACCGCTTCCTGTGTGAGGTAAGGTTGCACTCTACGGATGTTATAGAGGATAGATACAGCATGGAGCATGGATACAGCCCTTAGCCGTGGTATATTGGCCATATATCACAAACCCCTGAGGTGCCTTACTGCTATTATAAACTGGTTACCAACGTAATTAGAGCAGTACAAATAAATGTTTTGTCATACCCGTGGTATATGAGTCTGATATACCACGGCTGTCAGCCAATCAGCAATCAGGGCTCGAACCACCCAGTTTATAATGTCTGGGGGTTTGTGGTATATGGCCAATATACCACGGCTAAGGGCTATAACCAGGCACTCCCCGTTGCATCATGCATAAGAACAGCCCTTAGCCGTGGTATATTGGCCGTATACCACATCCCCTCGTGCATTGTTGCTTAAACATACCACAGCTTCCAGCCAATCAAAATCCAGGACCCAAACTACCCGGTTTCTAATACACATTAAGTAACACAAGGCTCATACAGAAGATAGAGAGGTCATACGTTGTCGCTCTGGTTACATCTACAATAATGAAGTGCATGTGTAGCTCAGTTGGTAGAGTATGGCATTTGCAACGGCAGGGTTGTGGGTTCGATTCCCACGGGGGCCAGTATGAAACATTTATGCACTCACTAACTGTAAGTCGCTCTGGATAAGAGCGTCTGCTAAATGACTAAAATGTAAAAATGTAAATGTATGTGTAGTAATTACCTTGTTAGTCCCATAGGCCATCTCCATAGCCTCCAGAGAGAGGGAGCACAGTGCGTTGATCAGGTGATGCAGTGACACATCATCTAGGTACTGGGAGCTCTCAAAGAGTCTCGACAGGATGTTGGAGATGAAAGGCAGGTCCGTCATCACAGCCGTGGTCAGCACCTGTAACACACAGACAACATGGGGGAGTCAGATAGCTGAAAGGTGAAGCTGGTGGGCTGTGGTTCATCTGTACGATCCAGCAGAGCAATGTAAACCTTAGGTTGACGTTTGGTGTGTTTAGCTTTAAAGGCTGAAGAGGAGTAGCGAATAGCCAATGAAACCCTATGGGAGTTGTTGCTAATTGATGCAGAGAATTAAACTCATTACAGTGTGACTGCGTAAGGCAGGGAGATAGAATCTTACCGTGCTGGGCCCCTCTACTGCACGACCAGGCTTCAGAGCACCTCCAACCCCAGGCTTCAGGCCTAGGATCCACACCAGGTGCTGGGGGAGGAGAGGGAAGGGAGAGATGGATGGAGAACAGGAAGGGCAGAGAAGGTGGTGAGAAAAGTCAGAGAGAGAGAGAGAGTGATTCACTTAGACCACTTCCACTATATAATACAAAAAATAAAAATGTTTTAATTGAAATATTTAGCCTTGTCAATAGACGAAAAAGACAGGAAATCCCAGTTTGGCTATAATATGCTGTAGAGCTGTGCCAGTGCGTGTGTGTGGTGGGTACAGTATGGTGGTACTGTACCTGCAGCGTGGCCAGCACCAGCTGCCAAGAGGTGCCCAGCACTGCCCCGTGGCAGTGGGCCAGGTTCAACAGGGTCCGCATACACTGGATATTCTTAGCTGTCAGCTGAGAGAGAGAGAGAGAGAGAGAGAGAGAGACACTGTTATATCACACTACTGTCTCTACTGTATATGTGAACATCTAACGTGCCCTCTTGTTGTGTTGTTGTAGTAATGTTGTGTAGAGGTCCCTTACCACCACAGTGCCTTGGGGCTGTACAGTGAGAGGCTGTCCCACAGCCACCACCTGCTGATGAGACTCACTGGAGGGACTGATGATCTGCACACTCTGGCCCTGGATAGAGTAGGCTGAGGAGAACAGGAAAACACACACACATTTAATTAGAGTCCTCAACGAAAGCAATGATCACAAGGTCCAAATCATTTGGAGGTCAATCAATATATTTACTCCTTAGTCCATTAGTCTTTTTTTTTATCCTCACAATGTAGCTCAGAAAGACACCCCTGATAATAACAATGACAGTAATTTCCATTCATATACTCAGGGGCGCAACTTACACTGGGGATGGGGGGGGGGGGGACATCTGAAATTGCATTTTTGTCCCCCCCAGTTTTATCATTGGAATGTGACAAAACAAGACAACGGTGTGCTTTAGGACCATGCGGATGCCTCCGAACGGTCGGGTAGGCTGTTTGGAGTGTTTATCCAACTGGATTTTAAAAAACATTAATATAAAAAAAAATGTCCCCCTCACTTTTTAAACCAAAGTTGCGCCCCTGCATATACTAGACTGAGTGACAGAGACAAGCCAGCTACATGCAAGAGACTTGATTAATTAACTCCTAAGGCAAAAACCCATCCTGCTGAAGCCAATTTGCAAGCTTTATCTCTCACAGCAAATATGCAAATAGTGTGTGTGTGTGAGAGAGAGCATGTTTGTGACTGTACATACCCCCCTGACACATTAATCTTGGTGATACTAATTAGAGGGAACAGGGAAACAGTTGAGGCACAGCCAGGATTAATGACATACAGTGGGGAGAACAAGTATTTGATACACTGCAGATTTTGCAGGTTTTCCTACTTACAAAGCATGTAGAGGTCTGTAATTTTTATCATAGGTACACTTCAACTGTGAGAGACGGAATCTAAAACAAAAATCCAGAAAATTACATTGTATGATTTTTAAGTAATTAATTTGCATTTTATTGCATGACATAAGTATTTGATCACCTACCAACCAGTAAGAATTCCGTCTCTCACAGACCTGTTAGTTTTTCTTAAAGAAGCCCTCCTGTTCTCCACTCATTACCTGTATTAACTGTACCTGTTTGAACTCGTTACCTGTATAAAAGACACCTGTCCACACACTCAATCAAACAGACTCCAACCTCTCCACAATGGCCAAGACCAGAGCGCTGTGTAAGGACATCAGGGTTAAAATTGTAGACCTGCACAAGGCTGGGATGGGCTACAGGACAATAGGCAAGCAGCTTGGTGAGAAGGCAACAACTGTTGGCGCAATTATTAGAAAATGGAAGAAGTTCAAGATGACGGTCAATCACCCTCGGTCTCACCTCGTGGGGCATCAATGATCATGAGGAAGGTGAGGGATCAGCCCAGAACTACACGGCAGGACCTGGTCAATCACCTGAAGAGAGCTGGGACCACAGTCTCAAAGGAAACCATTAGTAACACACTACGCCGTCATGGATTAAAATCCTGCAGCGCACGCAAGGTCCCCCTGCTCAAGCCAGCGCATGTCCAGGCCCGTCTGAAGTTTGCCAATGACCATCTGGATGATCCAGAGGAGGAATGGGAGAAGGTAATGTGGTCTGATGAGACAAAAATAGAGCTTTTTGGTCTAAACTCCACTCGCCGTGTTTGGAGGAAGAAGAAGGATGAGTACAACCCCAAGAACACCATCCCAACAGTGAAGCATGGAGGTGGAAAAATCATTATTTGGGGATGCTTTTCTGCAAAGGGGACAGGACGACTGCACCGTATTGAGGGGAGGATGGAAGGGGCCATGTATCGCGAGATCTTGGCCAACAACCTCCTTCCCTCAGTAAGAGCATTGAAGATGGGTCGTGGCTGGGTCTTCCAGCATGACAACGACCTGAAACACACAGCCAGGGCAACTAAGGAGTGGCTCTGTAAGAAGCATCTCAAGGTCCTGGAGTGGCCTAGCCAGTCTCCAGACCTGAACCCAATAGAAAATCTTTGGAGGGAGCTGAAAGTCTGTACTGCCCAGCGACAGCCCCGAAACCTGAAGGATCTGGAGAAGGTCTGTATTGAGGAGTGGGCCAAAATCCCTGCTGTAGTGTGTGCAAACCTGGTCAAGACCTACAGGAAACGTATGATCTCTGTAATTGCAAACAAAGGTTTCTGTACCAAATATTAAGTTCTGCTTTTCTGATGTATCAAATACTTATGTCATGCAATAAAATGCAAATGAATTACTTAAAAATCATACAATGTGATTTTCTGGATTTTTGTTTTAGATTCTGTCTCTCACAGTTGAAGTGTACCTATGATAAAAAATTACAGACCTCTACATGCTTTGTAAGTAGGAAAACCTGCAAAATCAGCAGTGTATCAAATACTTGTTCTCCCCACTGTATGTGGAGTATCACAGTTGTTAGTATGGAGATCACGCATAGTCAGGGCTCGAGAGCAGGGTTCTCCAACTGGCGGCCCCCGGGTGGTTTATATATATATATATATATATATATATATATATATATATATATATATATATATATATATATATATATATATAGGGGAATTTTAATTGTTGGACATAAAAGTGTAAAAACAATAGGAAATCAGCTACAAGTTATTTTAATTTTGGAAATCTGTTCCCAAGTATTGCCATGCATAATAGAGAGACATGATTGTATACAAATGTAAATACGTTTTGAAATTATGTTTTAGTCTAATATTGTATCTGTTTGGGATTCTTGCGGTCAATTTGACATCTACGAATTATGTTCTGGCCCCCCGACCACCCGCTCAAGAAAAAAATTAAAAATGTCCCGTGGCTGAATCTAGTTGATGATCCCTGCTCTAGAGTTTCACACTCTCACACATATACACTACCGGTCAAAAGTTTTAGAACACTTACTCATTCCAGGGTTTTTCTTTATTTTGACTATTTTCTACATTGTAGAATAATAGTGAAGACATCAAAACTATGAAATAACACATATGGAATCATGTAGTAACCAAAAAAGTGTTAAACAAATCAAAATATATTTTATATTTGAGATTCTTCAAATAGCCACACTTTGCCTTTATGACAGCTTTGCACATTCTTGGCATTCTCTCAACCAGCTTCATGAGGTAGTCACCTGGAATGCATTTCAATTAACAGGTGTGCCTTCTTAAAAGTTAATTTGTGGAATTTCTTTCCTTCTTAATGCGTTTTTAGCAAATCAGTTGTGTTGTGACAAGTTGGGGGGAGGGGGGTATACAGAAGATATCCCTATTTGGTAAAAGACCAAGTCCATATTATGGCAAGAACAGCTCAAATAAGCAAACAGAAACGACAGACCATCATTACTTTAAGACATGAAGGTCAGTCAATACAGAACATTTCAAGAACTTTGAATGTTTCTTCAAGTGCAGTCGCAAAAACCATCAAGCGCTATGATGAAACTGGCTCTCATGAGGACCGCCACAGGAATGGAAGACCCAGTTTTACCTCTGCTGCAGAGGACATGTTCATTAGAGTTACCAGCCTCAGAAATTGCAGCCCAAATAAATGCGTCACAGAGTTCAAGTAACAGACATCTCAACATCAACTGTTTAGAGGAGACTGTGTGAATCAGGCCTTCATGGTCGAATTGCTGCAAAGAAACCACTACTAAAGGACACCAATTAGAAGAAGAGAATTGCTTGGGCCAAGAAACACGAGCAATGGACATTTGAACGGTGGAAATTTGTCCTTTGGTCTGGAGTCCAAATTGGAGATGGTGTGGGTGAATGGATGATCTCTGCATGTGTTTTCCCCCCCGTAAAGCATGGAGGAGGTGTTATGGTGTGGGGGTGCTTTGCTGGTGACACTGTCTGTGATTTCTTTAGAATTCAAGGCACACTTAACCAGCATGGCTACCACAGAAAACTGCAGCGATACGCCATCCCGTCTGGTTTGGGATTAGTGGGACTATCATTTGTTTTTCAACAGGACAATGACCCCCTCACACCTCCAGGCTATGTAAGGGCTATTTGACCAAGAAGGAGGGTGATGAAGTGCTGCATCAGATGGCCTGGCCTCCACAATCCCCCGACCTCAACCAAATTGAGATGGTTTGGGATGAGTCAGACCGCAGAGTGAAGGAAAAGCAGACAACAAGTGCTCAGCATATGTGGGAACTCCTTCAAGACTGTTGGAAAAGCATTCCAGGTGAAGTTGGTTGAGAGAATGCCAAGAGTGTGCAAAGCTGTCAACAAGGCAAAGGGTGGCTATTTTAACAATATAAAATATATATGGTTTGTTTCTAACGCTTTTTTGGTTACTACATGATTCCATATGTGTTATTTCATAGTTTTGATGTCTTCACTATTATTCTACAATGTAGAAAATAGTCAAAATAAAGAAAAACCCTGGAATGAGTAGGTGTTCTAAATCGTTTGACAGGTAGTATACACAGAGAGACTTGGGGTGAAAAGCTAATTAAGTGTACACATAAACTACTAACTACTGGCTTATCAAGTTCCTCAGAAGCACGTAGGTTTATTATACCAGAGCTGATACCCTACTATATGTAACAAAGCCATGAGTGAAGACAGCTATGAACACACACAAACACCCTCTCTCACACACCCACAGGGTACTGACCCTTGTTGTTGAGGTTGGCTGCATTACTGCTGAGGACTGTCAGGGCATAGTGTGGGGGCAATGAGGCCTTGCAGATGGCTGTGATGAAGGCGTCGCGGGGCGTGACCAGGCCCAGACGACCACACAGAGACGCCATGGTCAGCTCCGCCTTTAGGATGCTCTCTGTCGCCGTCTCATCAGTACTGGAGGGGGACGAGACACACAGAGGGTTATGGGTTTGTAACAAACACTGAGGAATGCTTAACTGCCGCAACGTTTTGACTTGTGAAAAAAAGTCTCAGAAGACCATTTCATCGGCGGACACGTTACACAACAACCTATGGTCCACGACCATAGTTGCTGGGCGCAGTAGTTTCAAGAACTTCGGTTTCTCCTGAACTTAACACTGACCTTGAGTTTCACCCATCACACTTTCAAGTTACTTTGAGGGGATACTATACTGAACAAAAATATAAACGCAAAATGTAAAGTGTTGGTCCCATGTTTCATGAGCTGAAATACAAGATCCCAGAAATGTTCCATACGCACAAAAAGCTTATTTCTCTCAAATTGTAGACACATTTGTTTACATCCCTGTTAGTGAGCATTTCTACTTTCCCAAGATAATCCATCCACCTGACAGGTGTGGCATATCAAGAAGCTGATTAAACAGCATGATAATTACACAGGTACACCTTGTGCTGGGGACAATAAAAGGCCACTAAAATGTGCAGTATTGTCACACAACACAATGCCACAGAAGTCTCAAGTTTTGAGGGAGCGCCCAATTGGCATGCTGACTGAAGGAATGTCCACCAGAGCTGTTGCCAGAGAATTGAATGTTAATTTATCTACCATAAGCTGCCTCCAATGTCGTTTTAGAGAATTTGGCAGTACGGCCAACCGGTCTCACAACCGCAGACCACGTGTAACCACAACAGCCCAGGACCTCCACATCTGGCTTCTTCACCTGCAGGATCGTCTGAGACCAGTCACCCGGATAGCTGACGAAACTGAATTTGCACAACCAAAAAATGTCTGCACAAACTGTCAGAAACCGCATCAGGGAAGTTCATGTGCGTGCTTGTTGTACTCATCAGGGTCTTAACCTGACTGCAGTTTGGCGTCGTAACTGACTTCAGTGGGAAAATGATATGATCACTTTCGATGGCCACTGGCACGCTGGAGAAGTGTGCTCTTCATGGATGAATCCCGGTTTCAACTGTACCGGGCAGATGGCAGACAGCATGTATGGCATCGTATGGGTGAGCGGTTTGCTGATGTCAAACTTTGTGAACAGAGTGCCCCATGGTGGCGGTGGGGTTATGGTATGGGCAGGCATAAGCTACTGACAACGAACACAATTGCATTTTATCTATGGCAATTTTAATATACAGAGCTACCGTGACGAGATCCTGAGGTCCATTGTTGTGCCATTCATCCGCCGCCATCACCTCATGTTTCAGCATGATAATGCACAGCCCCATGTCGCAAGGATCTGTACACAATTCCTGGAAGCTGAAAATGTCCCAGTTCTTCCACGTCCTGCATACTCACCAGACATGCCATCCATTGAGCATGTTTGGGATGATCTGGATTGACGTGTACGACAGCGTGTTCCAGTTCCCGCCAAAATCCAGCAACTTCGCACAGCCATTTAAGAGGAGTGGAACAATATTCTGCATGCCACAATCAACAACCTGATCAACTTTATGCGAAGGAGATGTGTCGCGCTGCATGAGGCAAAAGGTGGTCACACCAGATACTGACTGGTTTTCTGATCCACACCCCAACCTTTTTCTTTAAGGTATCTGTGACCAACAGATGCATATCTGTATTCCAAGTCATGTGAAATCCATAGATTAGGGCCTAATTTATACGAACTCAGTAAAATCTTTGAGATTATTGAATGTTGCGTTTATATTGACCTTGAGGTGATCTATAAGAAGTGTTGTTACCTGGCGTCCAATAGGAGTGAGAGGGCAGCCAGTAGACCACACCAACACGCACTGACCATCTCCTCCCAGACCAGATGGGCTCCTGACCGAGAAACAGTAGTTAGCAACAGAGTGGACAAGAAATACACATTTGTACAGATATCTATATTTAAATGCTGCTTTTGAATATATATATATCTATATATAAAATCAGAATGCTGCTTTTGAATAGGGATGATAACACATTCATCACTGTAGTAAGCCTACATTCATTAACGCCCTCAGGAACTGTAGGTATTGGATTGGCCACTAGAGGTCAATAAAATTGCAAGCTAGGGTTCGGCTTCTTGTGTTGGCCCAGAGAAGCACCCCGGTCCTAACCCCCAACCCTCCCTCATCCTCCTCCACCTCCCCTCTCTTCACCAGGCTCAGGTTGGGCGTTCTGGTCTGGGTTGGCCTCCCTGCGTACAGCCGCCTCCTCCTCCTCCTTGGCCAGTTCTCTCTCTATCATGGAGGTGATGCCTCGGACCAGGTCCAGCAGGGCACTGAAGGCCACAGACATGGCATAACCCTCTGGGATGGACGGGGGCTCCACCTTGTCCAACATCTCCAGACTGGGGCAGGGAAGGGGAAAGGGAAAGGGAAACGTATGATATGACGCATTGTGTGTGTGTGTCTGTCTACCCTACTCAGTTGTAAGAAAAAGTGTGTACGTCCAAAGGAGCTACATGCAAACAAAAACACTCATTCAGCTCCCACTAACAAACACACTCTCACTGGACTGCTGCTTAGACACCTGCAGGATCAGCTTTCCCTGGCAATGTGTTCATTACAAACACACAATGAGTTGTGTTAAGACAATGTTGACTGACAACCATCTCTCCTGCATCAACAAACCAGCTAGTTTCATTCTCTAGTCTATCAAAACACCAGCATTGCTCAATCTCCTCATAATTACAGACAACAGATCCTATTCCCTTCCTAACCATGCATAGAGAGCAGAGCTAGGTCAACTAATCCATAGTTAAATGAACTCCTTCCTCCCCTCTTACAGGCACAGTGTGTGTCATGTGGAATCTGCTGTGTTTGTGTTCTCTCTGTTCCTGCCTTTGTCTCGGTCCCCTCACTAAAAGATAGCAGCTAGTTAGAGTAGAATAATGACAATGACAGTATTTACAGGCCAACTGTCCTCCAGGGTGTCTAGGTCTAATGATAATTCCGTCCCCTGTGGTTTAAAATCAAACCATTTCTCTCTGGTTTAAATATCTGTCTCAAATAGATTGTGCCCCTGTGTGTGATAATTGGATGGATGATTCAAACCTAGACAGACATAGCTAGATGTCTAGTGTGTGTGTGTGTAGTACTACTCACTAGGTAGCCTTGGCGCTGCCCTGCACACTGACGGTCATGAGGGGGATCCAGGTACCGCGGTATTCGAAGGCAGCCTGAGTGGTCAGACTCCCACCCTGACCTCCTGCTCCTGGACCGCCCTGGGCAGCCGCCTGGGCCCCCGACCCAGACCCACCTAAGGAGGGACAGAGAGATTGAGGAATGGAAGGGGGGAGGGAAGGTAGAAGAGAGAGCAAAATATTAGTTAGTATTGAGCTGGAACAAAAGCCTTCGCACCCTGCAGACCAGAACCTTCCATACCCTCATGAGTTGCCTAATCCTATCCTAGATATTCATTTTCTTTATTTCCAACTACAGTCTCAAGCTGTAACACAAGTAAAGACAACAGTAGGTCCATCTCAATGTGCTCAGTGTGGTACTGACCAGCAGGGGCATTGGTGGCAGCAGGGTTGCCTGTGTTGGGGATGATGAAGAGGGACTGGATGAAGGAGCCCAGAGCGTTGACGATGTCCCGGAACACCTTGGTGGAGTGCTGCTTCATGTCATAGGACTGGCAGAAAGATCTGGAGGGGATATAGACAGGGTTGATAGGAAGTTTGGTAAAAAATATATAATATGGAGGAGATTGTTGAGGTTATGTGCGCTGAGGTTTTGCGGTAATGTTAGTGATGTGTGTTTGTGTGTGCTATAAGGTTAGTGTCAGAGGTGTATGGTGAGGTCAGTGATATGTGTGTTGAGGGTGCGTGTGCGCTCCTCCTCTTCACCGTAGCAGGTGTGGCTGTACACACAGCCTGTGGACTGACTCCACGGCCACGGCTCTGAGCCACTGAGGCTTCTCTCCATCCAGGAACTTCACCAGCAGGGACAGGAAGATCTCACACTCCGTCACCTACAACCACAACACAGACAAACACACCTCAATCCTCAGCTCCCCAGGCTAACTACCCACATATGTACACATATGTCGAAAGTTTTAGAACACCTACTCATTCAAGGGTTTTTCTTTATTTTTACTATTTTCTACATTGTAGAATAATAGTGAAGACATCAAAACTATGAAATAACACATACGGAATCATGTAGTAACCAAAAAAGTGTTAAACTAATCAAAATATATTATATAATTGAGATTCTTCAAATAGCCACCCTTCGCCTTGATGACAGCTTTGCACACTCTTGGCATTCTCTCAACCAGCTTCATGAGGTAGTCACCTGGAATGCATTTCAATTAACAGGTGTGCCTTCTTAAAAGTTAATTTGTGGAATTTCTTTCTTAATGCGTTTGAGCCAATCAGTTGTGTTGTGAAAAGGTAGGGGGGTATACAGAAGATAGCCCTATTTGGTAAAAAGACCAAGTCCATATTATGGCAAGAACAGCTCAAATAAGCAAAGAGAAACAACAGTCCTTCGTTATTTTAAGACTTGAAGGTCAGTCAATACGGAAAATGTCAAGAACTTTGAAAGTTTCTTCAAGTGCAGTCGCAAAAACCATCAAGCACTATGATGAAACTGGTTCTTATGAGGACCGCCACAGGAATGGAAGACCCAGAGAATGGAAGACCCAAATAAATGCTTCACAGAGTTCAAGTAAGAGACACACATCAACATCAACTGTTCAGGTGAGACTGTGTGAATCAGGCCTTCATGGTCAAATTGCTGCAAAGAAACCACTACTAAAGGACACCAATAAGAAGAAGAGACTTGCTTGGGCCAAGAAACACGAGCAATGGACATTAGACCGGTGGAACTTTGTCCTTTGGTCTGGAGTCCAAATTTGAGATTTTTGGTTCCAACCGCCGTGTCTTGTGAGACGCTGTGTGGGTGAACGGATGATCTCTGCATGTGTATTTCCCGCCGTAAAGCATGGAGGAGGTGGTGTTATGGTGTGGGGGTACTTTGCTGGTGACACTGTCTGTGATTGATTTAGAATTCAAGGCACACTTAACCAGCATGGCTACCACAGCATTCTGCAGCAATACGCCATCTGGTTTGGGATTAGTGGGACTATCATTTGTTTTTCAACAGGACAATGACCCAACACACCTCCAGGCTGTGTAAGGGCTACCAAGAAGGAGAGTGATGGAGTGCTGCATCAGATGACCTGGCCTCCACAATCCCCTGACCTCAACCAAATTGAGATGGTTTGGGATGAGTCAGACCGCAGAGTTTTAGGAAAAGCAGCCAACAAGTGCTCAGCATGTGAGAACTCCTTCAAGACTGTTGGAAAAGCATTCCAAGTGAAGCTGGTTGAGAGAATGCCAAGAGTGTGCAAAGCTGTCATCAAGGCAAAGGATGGCTATTTGAAGAATCTCAAATATAAAATATATTTTGATTTGTTTAACACTTTTTTTGGTTACTACATGATTCCATGTGTTATTTCATAGTTTTGATGTCTTCACTATTATTCTACAATGTAAAAAATAAAGAAAAACCCTTGAATGAGTAGGTGTTCTAAAACCTTTGGCCGGTAGTATATATCTCTACAATAAGAGGACAACAGGATGAATTTCAGTTAACCTCCTGAATTGACTGAATTCAGATGGAATTTACCCAAACTATAGTTCCTGCCTTGGCTCACACCACTAAACTGTAGTTGTGTTTGATGATTTAGACAGTACTAGGTAATAGCTAGCTGTAACTGACTTTCACCAGTGGGCTGTAGAAGTGTTTGATAACCACAGGGACTCACCAGTAGGCTGTAGAAGTGTTTGATGAGCACAGACACCACTCTGAGCAGCCTCATGCAGATGGGGAAGTAGGGTTTCTCTACAGGGGCAGGCGAGGAGGCGCTGCTGCTGCCCTGGCGGAACTTGATGTTGGGGGAGAACAGCTTGATGACCAGCGGACAAACACGCTCCTTCAGCAGGAAGCTGAACTCCTGGTGCTATACAGTGGTCAGATGGCAACAGGTGGGATAAGCAGGAGGTGGGGGTCAGAGTACAAATATAAAGACACACACACCTACAGTGAGATGACATATTGTATTCTATTTCAATGCATATAATACTTAATTGTATTGAATTATATTGTACTGTATTGTACTATACTTTACTGTATCACGTTGTCACTGTCGTACTGGACCCCCCACGCAAGGCGGGAGGGCCCACGAGCTCTGGCTCTTATTCATCTGTCTTTTATTTATTTATTTATTTATTGAATTGATCATTTTGACAGTAACCCTCCAAAAAGTCATTAATAAACCTTTTTAATTTCCATATGTACTAGGAAGCAAAGTGTTCTTCAGGAATGTGACTGAAATGTGACTGAAAAAGTGCCTCAGGCCTTGGAAAAATAAAAAATTTAACTGATTGAAAGTATAAGAGGATCTCAGTGAACAAATGCCGTGGCAAGGCTACGACGGTGCCAGTGCAATGAGTGGAGCTTACTCAGGTGTTCAAAAGCGCATATCAGACCAAGAGCCTAATGCTTCTTTGGTAGTTCTTAGTAGAGTTTAAGATCAGAAAATGATTTATCTGCAGAAGCGACAGTTACAGGGATGGTAAAAACAGCTTGATTGCCATAATAACATCAGGGAAACTGGGCAGAAGGGAGTGGTGCTTCAAATACAGCCGTTTTGCAACATCTTTAATTGAGCCTTTCATTCTCCTTAATTGCAGGCCTCAACATGTTACGGAAAGAGATTAACTGTATAGGAATCTCTGAGGACAGGTCGTCTGGATACTGGACAGCCAATAAAATGCCAGATGCAAACAGATTATCATCTTTAGCGGACAACAGTTCTAGAGGCCTTGAACAAAAAAATCAGTTTGTAATTTCGTTCATACTGGTGAACCGGCGTATTAGTTGCGTGATTGCAAATATTAACAGTCCCTTATCTCTTCTATATCTTGGCATGCATCATTCAAGACTATGTTTAAATTGTGTGCAGCGCAATGGACATATAATGCACAATATGTCTCAGGAAAGACTATGGGTTGGCAATACTCAGTATAGGACAGTTGGGCCCACAACCTGGACCTACATGTTATATAGAATAGAAGATATTCTATTTGTTATTTTAGTTGTTTTACCAGTTATCAACATATTGTTCAGTGTTTAAGAAAATAAAGCCAGCGGTTATTCTGTGACTTTAGCTAATACATGGATTTTTTTTTGTTATTGAGTATGGTTTTGGTATTGAGTATAATTTCAGTATCGAGTATCGTTTTGGTATTGAGTATCATTTCGGTTTCAAGTATCGTGATACTAAACCTGCTCTCGAAGTCAAAATTCTGGTATAGTGACAAAACTAGACTGTTTTATGCAGAAATCTATTTTTCTAATGATTGGTCAAAATTGCAAGCCCTCGCTTGGGGAATTGTTGATTTAGCAAAAACAAAATTGGGATTGCAAAATCCTGGAGGGACTGTGTATTATGTTGTGTGTACTGTGTGTTTACCTGCAGGAAGACCCCAGGGAAGTCATTGAGGACTGACTCCAGGAGCTCCAGACCAAATGTCCGCGTCATCTCTGTCATCCCCACCAGCCAGTAGGGGGCGTCAGCATTCACTAGCTGACATAGGTCCTGGATAGACACACACGAAGATGGGGCTATAGACATGCACATAGGACAGCTGGAGACAGCTACTAGCATTGCCTCTGTGATACAGTCTGGAAGTCTAGGCTGTACATACACTACATGACCAAAAGTATGTGGACACCTGCTCGTCAAACATCTCGTTCCAAAATCTTGGGCATTAATATGGAGTTGGTCCTCCCTTTACTGCTATACCAGCCTCAACTCTTCTGGGAAGGCTTTCCACTAGATGTTGGAACATTGTTGCAGGGACTTGCTTCCATTCAGCCACAAGAGCATTAGTGAGGTCAGGCGATTAGGCCTGGCTTGTAGTCGGCATTCCAATTCATCCCAAAGGTGTTCGATGGGGTTGAGGTCAGGGCTCTGCGCAGGCCAGTCAAGTTCTTCCACACCGATCTCGACAAACTATTTCTGTATGGACCTCGCTTTGTGCACGTGGGCATTGTCATGCTGAAACAGGAAAGGACCTTCCCCAAACTGTTGCCACAAAGTTGGAAGCACAGAATCGTCTAGAATGTCATTGTATGCTGTAGCGTTAAGATTTCCCTTCACCGGAACTAAGGGGCCTAGCCAGAACCATGAAAAACAGCCCCAGACCATTATTCTTCCTCCACCAAACTTTACAGTTGGCACTATGCATTCGGTCAGGTAGCAGTCTCCTGGCATCTGCCAAACCCAGATTCATCCATCAAACTGCCAGATGGTGAAGCGTGATTCATCACTCCAGAGAACGCATTTCCACTGCTCCAGAGTCCAATGGCAGCGAGCTTTACACCACTACAGCTGACACTTGGCATTGTGCATGGTGATCTTAGGCTTGTGTGCGGCTCCCCGGCCATGGAAACCCATTTCATGAAGCTCCCGACGAACAGTACTTGTGCTAATGTTGCTTCCAGAGCCAATTTGGAACTCGATAGTGAGTGTTGCAACCGAGGACAGATGATTTTTATGCGCTACGCGCTTCAGCACTCAGCGGTTCCATTGTGTGAGATTGTGTGGCCTACCACTTCGCGGCTGAGTCGTTGTTGCTCCTAGACGTTTCCACTTCACAATAACAGCACTTACAGTTGACCGGGGCAACTCTAGCAGGGCAGAAATTTGACGAACTGACTTGTTGGAAAATTGGCATCCTACGACAGTGCCACGTTGAAAGTCACTGAGCTATTCAGTAAGGCCATTCTACTGCCAATATTTGTCTATGGAGATTGCATGACCTCTCAGCAACGGGTGAGACTGAAATAGCCGAATCCACTAATTTGAAGGGGTTCCCACATACTTTTGTATATATACAGTGCCTTGCAAAAGTATTCATCCCCCTTGGCGTTTTTCCTATTTTGTTGCGTTACAACCTGTAATCTAATTGGATTTTTATTTGGATTTCATGTAATGGACATACACAAAATAGTCCAAATTGGTCAAGTGAAATGAAAAAAATAACATGTTTAAAAAAACTCTACAAAATAAATAACAGAAAAGTGGTTCGTGCATATGTATTCACCCCCTTTGCTATGAAGCCCCTAAATAAGATCTGGTGCAACCAATTACATTCAGAAGTCACATAATTAGTTAAGTAAAGTCCACCTGTGTGCAATCTAAGTGTCACATGATCTTAGTATATATACACCTGTTCTGAAAGGCCCCAGAGTCTGCAACACCACTAAGCAAGGGGCACCACCAAGCAAGCGGCACCACGAAGACCAAGGAGCTCTCCAAACAGGTCAGGGTCAAAGTTGTGGAGAAGTACAGATCAGGGTTATAAAAAAATATCAGAAACTTTGAACATCCCACGGAGCACCATTAAATCCATTATAAAAAAATGGAAAGAATATGGCACCACAACAAACCTGCCAAGAGAGGGCTTCCCACCAAAACTCACGGACCAGGCAAGGAGGGCATTAAATCAGAGGCAACAAAGAGACCAAAAATAACCCTGAAGGAGCTGCAAAGCTCCACAGCGGAGATTGGAGTACCTGTCCAAAGGACCACTTTAAGCCGTACATTCCACAGAGCTGGGCTTTATGGAAGAGAGCCAGAAAAAAGCCATTGCTTAAAGAAAAAAATAAGCAAACATGTTTGGTGTTCGCCAAAAGCCATGTGGGAGACTCCCCAAACATATGGAAGAAGGTACTCTGGTCAGAAGAGACTAAAATAGAGATTATTGGCCATCAAGGAAAACGCTATGTCTGCCGCAAACCCAACACCTCTCATCACCCCGAGAACACCATCCCCACAGTGAAGCATGGTGGTGGCAGCATCATGCTGTGGGGATGTTTTTCATTGGCAGGGACTGGGAAACTGGTCAGAATTTAAGGAATGATGGATGGCGCTAAATACAGGGAAATTCTTGAGGGAAACCTGTTTCAGTCTTCCAGAGATTTGAGACTGGGACGGAGGTTCACCTTCCAGCAGGACAATGACCCTAAGCATACTGCTAAAGCAACACTCGAGTGGTTTAAGGGGAAACATTTAAATGTCTTGGAATGGCCTAGTCAAAGCCCAGACCTCAATCCAATTGAGAATCTGTGGTATGACTTAAAGATTGCTGTACACCAGCGGAACCCATCCAACTTGAAGGAGCTGGAGCAGTTTTGCCTTGAAGAATGGGAAGAAATCCCAGTGGCTAGATGTGCCAAGCTTGTAGAGACATACCCCAAGAGACTTGCAGCTGTAATTGCTGCAAAAGATGGCTCTATAAAGTATTGACTTTGGGGGGGGGTGAATAGTTATGCACGCTAAAGTTCTGTTTTTTTGTCTTATTTCTTGTTTGTTTCACAATAAAAAATATTTTGCATCTTCAAAGTGGTAGGCATGTTGTGTAAATCAAATGAATAGGAAAATGTTGTGTAAATCAACAAAATAGGAAAAATGCCAAGGGGGGTGAATACTTTCGCAAGCCACTGTAGTGTATATAAAGACAGCCTGGCTGTGTTTCATTCCACAAAGTTGTTCCCTCCCTTCCCCTCCCCTCGTTCCCTCCCTTCTCCTGCCCTCGTTCACAGGGTAAACCCTATCTACACCCCCTCTTCTGATGGGCGAGAGGGTGTAGGTGGGGTACAGTGAGAGGTATGGAGGACTGTCTCCTGGTGGACGTACCTGGAACAGCATGTAGGCGTCTTTAGCGCTGGGCCGCAGGGTGCTGACAGACCTCCGGTTAGTGTTACCTTGAACTGGAGTAGGCTGCTCCACGATGCCTAGAGGAGAGAGGAAGGTGAGGAGGGGGGGAAGGAGGAGAGGGGGAGGGGGAGGGGAGAAGAGAGTGAGAGGAAGAGAGAGGGGGAAAGGGGGGAGAGAACACATGGGAGAGACAGTCATTGGACACAGCTGTGGCTACAAGCCTGGAGGGATCAATCGCTCACACTCAAACAAACACACAAACCACAAAACACATTCCACCAAACAACACACTCTCAGAAAAGGCCGGTCCAACACCTACTACAAAAAGGAAAAGTCACTTAATTAAATAGTGATTCCCAATCCCAAGATGCAGAGTGGGAAGACAGCAGTGTGAAATCTTAAGGGGCAGAACAAAAACCTCAACAAAAACGAATTATGTATTCATTGAACTCAGGCTTAAATCATGGGATAAGCAGCTTTGGGCAATCTAAGGAGAAACTAACTCCCTTCCCTTACTCTGTGACAGGGTCAAAGTTAGAGGAGGAGGAGGGTAAAAGAGGAAGTGTGTGTGATGCAGAATACTGAAGGACAGAAACAGAAATGGTTCAGTCCTAGAAGAACTCCATTTCCCATGAGCACTCTGACCCTGACCTTTGAAGCGCTCATCCTCTGCGACCATCCTCTCAAAGACCACGGTGACGACCTGTCTCACGGTGGCGGCGGCCGTGTTGTTGGTGATGTTGTCCTTGGTGAAGTGCAGGCGGAAACACAGCACGATAGCCTGGGAGGGAGGGACGAGGGGAGAGGAGACACAGGCTCTGTTACAATATCCAGAAAAACATAGGCTACCACCAAGGATCAAGCCATGTATTGGGGAATACATTCTAAGCGGTACACTAGTATGGACAATTGAACGTAGACAGATTTACTAAGGCACACATCTGGATTCACATGCATGTGGAAACAGACTTGGAATAGTACATGACTCCTCGGGCAAATATGAGACGTTTGTGGGACTAAGAATGTGCTATCTGACTGGACTGTGAATATATGAAATGTCTGCAATGGTTGTGCAAATATCAACCTTCTGTGACACGAGGCAAGATACCTGTGTTTGTATTGTGTACAACTGTGTACATGCATGACAACATTTGGTGTTTGTATACAGTGCGCAGTTTATGGTACCTTGGAGAGTATTTCGTCATGTACTACAGTGTTGGTGGTGAGCAGCACTAGGACAGTCTGCAGCAGCTTCAGTTCCTCCAGCCCATTCTCCATCAACTGCCACAGCATGTTAATGATGTTCCCTGCTGCAGCCTGATGAACACACACACACACAGTTAATTTATTTATTTATTTTACCTTTAACTAGGCAAGTCAGTTAAGAACAAATTCTTATTTACAATGACGGCCTACACCGGCCAAACCCAGACGACGCTGGGCCAATTGTGCACTGCCCTATGGGACTCCCAATCACGGCTGGTTGTGATACAGCCTGGAATCGAACCAGGGGGTCTGTAGTGACGCCTCAAGCACTGAGATGCAGTGCCTTAGACCGCTGCGCCACTCGGGAGCCTTGTAGCCTACTTGTACATCAAGGAGGCAGTGACAGTCACGGTCACAATCAACTGGAATGTGACAGAACAGAGCAAGTGACAGCAGCACTAGAGCTCACAGACAGACATGTACACACCGATAAACAAAGAATTAGACACAGACACACAGCGGAGCAGCCGATCGGACCAGCCCACAGCTCTGAACGCATCAGGGTCAGTGAGTCACATGTACCTTCATTCCGCCAAACATTTACAGTGGGGAGAACAAGTATTTGATACACTGCCGATTTTGCAGGTTTTTCCTACTTACAAAGCATGTAGAGGTCTGTAATTTTTATCATAGCTACACTTCAACTGTGAGAGACGGAATCTAAAACAAAAATCCAGAAAATCACATTGTATGATTTTTAAGTAATTAATTTGAATTTTATCGCATGACATAAGTATTTGATACATCAGAAAAGCAGAACTTAATATTTGGTACAGAAACCTTTGTTTGCAATTACAGAGATCATACGTTTCCTGTAGGTCTTGACCAGGTTTGCACACACTGCAGCAGGGATTTTGGCCCACTCCTCCATACAGACCTTCAGGTTTCGGGGCTGTCGCTGGGCAATACGGACTTTCAGCTCCCTCCAAAGATGTTCTATTGGGTTCAGGTCTGGAGACTGGCTAGGCCACTCCAGGACCTTGAGATGATTCTTACGGAGACACTCCTTAGTTGCCCTGGCTGTGTGTTTCGGGTCGTTGTCATGCTGGAAGACCCAGCCACGACCCATCTTCAATGCTCTTACTGAGGGAAGGAGGTTGTTGGCCAAGATCTCGCGATACATGGCCCCATCCATCCTCCCCTCAATACGGTGCAGTCGTCCTGTCCCCTTTGCAGAAAAGCATCCCCAAAGAATGACGTTTCCACCTCCATGCTTCACGGTTGGGATGGTGTTCTTGGGGTTATACTCATCCTTCTTCTTCCTCCAAACACGGCGAGTGGAGTTTAGACCAAAAAGCTCTATTTTTGTCTCATCAGACCACATGACCTTCTCCCTTTCCTCCTCTGGATCATCCAGATGGTCATTGGCAAACTTCAGATGGGCCTGGACATGCGCTGGCTTGAGCAGGGGGACCTTGCGTGCGCTGCAGGATTTTAATCCATGACGGCGTAGTGTGTTACTAATGGTTTTCTTTGAGACTGTGGTCCCAGCTCTCTTCAGGTCGTTGACCAGGTCCTGCCGTGTAGTTCTGGGCTGATCCCTCACCTTCCTCATGATCATTGATGCCCCACGAGGTGAGATCTTGCATGGAGCCCCAGACCGAGGGTGATTGACCGTCATCTTCAACTTCTTCCATTTTCTAATAATTGCGCCAAAAGTTGTTGCCTTCTCACCAAGCTGCTTGCCTATTGTCCTGTAGCCCATCCCAGCCTTGTGCAGGTCTACAATTTTATCCCTGATGTCCTTACACAGCTCTCTGGTCTTGGCCATTGTGGAGAGGTTAGAGTCTGTTTGATTGAGTGTGTGGACAGGTGTCTTTTATACAGGTAACGAGTTCAAACAGGTGCAGTTAATACAGGTAATGAGTGGAGAACAGGAGTGCTTCTTAAAGAAAAACTAACAGGTCTGTGAGAGCCGGAATTCTTACTGGTAGGTAGGTGATCAAATACTTATGTCATGCAATAAAATGCAAATTAATTACTGAAAACTCATACAATGTGATTTTCTGGATTTTTGTTTTAGATTCCGTCTCTCACAGTTGAAGTGTACCTATGATAAAAATTACAGACCTCTACATGCTTTGTAAGTAGGAAAACCTGCAAAATCGGCAGTGTATCAAATACTTGTTCTCCCCACTGTACATTGCCACTGTGGCACTCCAGGGCAGTGACTCCACACACATTGTCCTTGTGTCACATCCTGAGGTCAGAACAACCCAACAGAACTCGTACAAAACCAATGGAACTGGGGGAAGTCGAACCAGTTGAAGAAAAAAAGAACCTGTCCTTCAAAAGAGGGGGCAATACCATGACAGGTCATTTACTTCCTGAGGCAAAAATGACTCCCGTTCACTCATACAAACCAAGACATTTAATCAATACTGCGGTAGATTCGTTCCTCTTCCCCATCCATGTCCAGTGTTTCCCCTAAGATATTTTTCTGCAGTGGTGGCAAGGAAAGCTGGAGGCAGGTGGGGGCAGGGTTTCAATGCATTGCTACTAAACAGGGGGAGTGGGGTGCATTGCTACTAGCGTTAGCGCAATGACATGCTAGCTGTTCCCATAGACGTGGGAGCCAACAACTACCCATTTAAAAGCGCATCCTACTAGTTAAGCCCTGGGCTTACAGACACACAGACGGTGATATATAGAGGGGAGGTGCTGGAGCATGCCAGAAAGCCTCTGTTGAAAGGCTCCAAGCAGGGTGTCTGCTGATAGCACGTAAACACAGCCAGCCAGCCAGGCATGCACGGCAGGGTGTACACAGTCAGTCAGGCAGGGAGCCAGTCAGTCAGGGAGTTGTTATTCACACAGTAGGCCTGGCTAGCTAGCTAGCTAGCTGGTCGTTCAAGGTGTCCCTGATAACACCAGGCAAGTCAAGGAAATTGGCCGCAATCGGGGAGTGAAGGGCCAGTCAGAATAGCCTGGGTTCCATGTTGAGGTTTAGTGGATAAAGGGCCAGTCACAATAGCCTGGGTTCCATGTTGAGGTGTAGGTAGCGGTTCTACAGAGATGGGGATTTGCACTGCAGTGTGAAGTAAAAAGTAGAAAACCCACCCTCTCAGATAGAGTTGGTGGTATTTAAACTTGTATAAGCCCAGGGTCATAATAATGTGCTCCCCCTGCCCTGACTTCAAATGTAGGCCTTCATCCAGACCAAAGCACTGTTCAATGGGCTTAGAATGAAAGCGTAGAAGTCTTTTGTGTTGTAGCGACCATGCAGGAACAGAGAGTACACTTTCACTTTCAATTGTCCAGGCGTTTAGTACAGTGTGTTTTGTACTAGCCTTAAAATATATGAGTCACAGCAGGTTTGATATCAGCTAGGACCATTTCCCTCCTAAATAATTCATTTCAGCCTTCTCAATCAACACGGTACATGCATTATACGCATTGATAATGCAATATTAATCAAAGAGACTATAAAGAGTTATAGGGGCGAGCCTAAAACATCCACTTAGTCTCCCACTGACATCAATACATGACTAAGTGAAAAATCGGAAGTTAGAATTAGACCCATAGCGGTCCTGTGTTCCTTACCTCAGACACCACCTCGTGGGACATGAGTCTCTGGATAGCAGCCAGACACAGCTGGGTGATCTTGGGCTCCTTGGTGCCACAGCCCATCAGGAACGGCTGCACCACCTCCGAGCTGTTCTCCTTCAGAGCTAAGGGGGAGACGATACATGGGCGCAGTCAGGCAGCTGTTATAGAACAAAAACACACCTAGAACAACTCTCTTAGAATGCATTCTTCTTTCCTTTGCTTGTTTGAATTAGGTCTAAATCACTGATCTGTACGTGGATAATTGGTTCAGCCAAAACATCTTTCTCGCACAAACAAGGCATTTAAGGGTGTCCCTCCCTCCCTCCTTCACTCACTCGCCAAGATGTCTGTATTCCTCGCGGCGATGGTCTTGATCTTGACAATCCCCGACTCGGCAGCCTAGGAAAGCACAGACAAGAGGCCCATTAAGATTACATTGACCTATATGTTCCTTATGAGACCGCTGACGATGCGTTACCACCTCTATATCCACTGTTATACCTGAGGTAGACATCTCCCAGTCCTTATTAATGATCCTCAGAGGAGAGGGCAGAGAAGACAAGCGTGGCCAGAAACATTGAGGGCTGTAATCAGTTAACCCTAAGTCCCTTTACCTGAGAGGAGACACAGAGGGAACCATAGTGATTTCTCTTGTGTGGAGCTGTGCTGCCTAACATAGTGAGAGGCTAAGATCCGGATGGGGGAGATATGGAGGGAGGAGAGGGAGAGAAGGGGGGAAAGCGAAAGATGGGGGAAGAGAAGAGCGACTGAGGGGAAGGGAGTGAGAAAGAGAAAGCAAGGGAGTGAGGGAAGGAGAGGGTGAGGAAAGGAGAGAGAGAGAGAGGAGAGGGAAGGAGAGAGAGGAGAGGGAAGGAGAGAGAGGGAAGGAGAGAGAGGAGAGGGAAGGAGAGAGAGGAGAGGGAAGGAGAGAGAGGAGAGGGAAGGAGAGAGAGGAGAGGGAAGGAGAGAGAGAGAGAGAGGAGAGGGAAGGAGAGAGAGAGAGAGAGGAGAGGGAAGGAGAGAGAGAGAGAGGAGAGGGAAGGAGAGAGAGAGCATGCTGTGCTTTCAGCAGTCAACAGAGGCCTCTTTATATCTCTACAGCAACTGCAGCTCTGTCAAGATATTCTCCCTCTCTCCAACTTCGCCCCCTCGTTCTCCTCTTTTCTGTGCTTCTCTTGCCTTGTTCTTTTCTTCCCATTCCTAAACCAACCACAACAGCAAGCAGATCATTAACAATTGCCTATGCACTGTGATACGGACTGGGCCTATAGCCTACATAAACATACTGTCAGTGTCCAATATTTCATAGGCTGACTCGACCATGAAAATGCCCTTTCTGAAGAACACACCAAAAAACAAAGGCCTATTAACATACACTCCCTGCATTTAATAATCATAATTGAAATGATGTCAAGTGCCACAATTGACAGCAAGAAGTGCTTTGACATTGAGCGATTGTTTCTTGGCAACTGCTCACAATTCTAGTCCCAAGTTAAATTGAAAAAATATTGGATTGGTGTTCCAAGTTCAAGACATCCTGTTCTAGTCACTGCCTCTCCTTCATACTCAAACATGCATAGCCTAGCAGGGTTTCTTTCAGGTAACATCTGACCACAAAGGGCCTAGCTTGAGAACAGTGTGCGAGACCTCAGCAGGTCATTCATAGGATATGAATAACAAGAAGCAGTCACCCCCTATTCATATGATGTTAAACCACTTAGGAAGACAGAGCGTGAGAAACACTTGCCGTTGTTGTTCTTTCTGACCGTGGCTACTGTGCTGTGGTGTTTCACCTCTCCTAGCTTTTATACAGTCATATCACTTAATATTTCATTTGAACTGCAACAAGGCCGCACAGAAGACGGGAGTCAACGGGACAGGACGCGACCTTTTGAACCTCTTGGTTACCAGGCAACAGGGCCTTAATACTTCGGAGTGTGGACTGAGCCAAACTGTGTAGAACTACAGGCCCGATCACCACGCCACACCGCGACTTTAAAGTTAATCTGGAGAAATGCAAGTCTCCCTCTTCTCCTTTGTTCTCAGTGTGGAGCGAGGCTGAGGGCTTTAACAGGGCAATAAACCAACATACAGAACTTTCTTTAATAATCATTCCGTTCCTGCTGGTGTAGCCACTTTTAAAGCTTGCCCAAACTGAGATATAAATACAGCCATCGGTGCTACGAAGTGAATGAAAATAATATTCAATTGGCTGCGGCTCATATTCAAAATGGGAGGCAGGCAGGACGTTTTTTTGTTGAGAACATTAACTCTCTGCCACAAACATGGTTAGGCCTCCACAAAAGGACAATAAAATCTGTGTTGGGGGGGGGAAGGGGCAATATAGGGCCGTTGAGTTCTTATTCTAGGTGTTGTTGATAGGGGGTGGCTGGATAAGCAGCAGCTGCTGAGCTGACACTTCCTCATCATGAAGTTAGTCTTGTTATCTTGGCTAATGAAGTTACAGCAGTTGGCACTGGACAAGGTTTCTCAGGGCGCTGGTTCTCTCCATACATTATAACAGGTTGACCATAACCACGCTCTTAAACCATTGATATTCCTTGTGGCATGACAGACATTCTTTCCAAAGTGAATTTGACCAAAGTGCTGTTGAGTTAAACTAGGCAAGGCTGTGTTCTCTATGAAGGCTGTGTTATCTATGAAGGCTGTGTTATCTATGAAGGCCGTGTTATAAACAGCCTTTAAAAGGTCCTTCTCAACCCCTCCTCACACACCATCCATTGTGGTTAGGTGGGACTAGCACTAGCAGCGATCAGAGACGCCACAGTGAATGGACCCTGTATGCAATGTAAACGGGAGCCACTCATGGCAGGAAGATGACGACGGTGGTGGTGATGAGGATGATTACAAAAATGTATAACAATGAGGCTGTAGTCTAACATGCCTGGTTTAAAAATAAACTTAGTATGGGTTCTGCAATCCGGGCAAACAATGAACTGCCTCCTACTGAAACCTTGAAGGAAGATCAAGATCATTGAACTCCATACAGAGATTTCAACCGGTCACATAACAAAGCAAGTCAGAGAGCCTTGAATCAGAAGCAGATTGCTGGGATTTCAATGGAGAGTCAATGGAGAGGGTAGGGTTGCAAAGCTACCAGTAATTTACCAAAGTTACCGGAATCTTCAGTAATTTTGGTAATTAACAGAAAATCTATGGCAATCTATCGTAAAAGCAATCTATCGTTTGGTAACTTAGCATCTGCACTGTTCAAGTAAATGTGTTTTTGTACGATTTTCTGAGGAATCCAAAGTAATTGTCAAATGCCAACCACGGATCCCCCACACGCCACGCCAATCCGTGGATGGCTTTGACAATTACTTTGGATTCCTCATGTCTAATTCATTGTTAGAAAAAAGTTTGGTCCAAATCGGATTTTGGGTACTATATTTATTCAATATTATATGAATCCTATAAATTAAAAAATTGCCAATTTGGCTGCAATTAATTAGCTGGTAGGTACTATAATTATTGAATATAATAATAGGAATCTATTAATTAAAATAGCCAATTAGGGTGCAATTAATGAGCTTAATTTCTCAGAGACTAAATTATATTTCAACAAGATAATGCTTAACTTATCTGTTTTTAACTGTCATGGCTTGCTGAAATTACATGGAACGACCCTATTATTTAATCTGAATGGAGTTGTTGTAGACAAGGACGAGAAGTGCAGCAAAACGGCCTCAACTAGCCTACGTAAGCTAGCTAGCTAGCTTAGTTCTTTACATCGATTTGATGCAGTCAAGACAGACACTACTAGATGGGATGATAGATAACCTACGGCATCTACAAGTTTGTCTAACTAGCGCAAGTCTGTATGGCTACTCTCTCTCTCCCGTGTCAAACACACCGGCCCATGCCCATCACCGCTGCAAGCGAGCAGAGCGGCACCTCTCTCCCAAGTCACGCAGGCTGCACCACAAGCCAGTTCGGATATGTGAAAAAATGTTATGATATTATTTGAATAGTGAAATTATTTCAAATGCCCATCCCTACTTCCCTCAAAAGACCAGCATCATTAGGTCAGCCGCTCATCGGCGGTCTCAGAACATGCTGAGAGAGAAAAACACTGCAGATTTTAGCATTGGTTCTGCTGCTGCATAGCCAACATTGAAGGGGCTTATTCAATGAATCCAAACCTTAGTCTCACATTTAGTCAGTTCTTCTTAACGTCCCAGTGCAGTCAAAAACTAGATTTGTGTGTTTTATATACATTTCTACACCACGAGGTTGGAATAATACTGTGAAATTGTGGAAATTATGATAATGCCCTTTTAGTATAAGAGCTGTTTGAAGAGACCGCCTTAAATTTCAGCCTGTTTGGTGGGATGGAGTTTTGGCCTGCCTGGTGACATCCCCAGGCGGTAATTTACAAACTTCTCTACCAATAACAGTAGGTTTTAAGTTTTCCCCTCAGACCACTCCCAGACAGTCCTAGCAGAATTCTTGCTTGAGAAATTGCTCTTTGCTAAGAAGCTATTTGTTTATTTTTGACTATTTTAATTTATTACGATCACAGTAAGGTACTTAAATGTTACCCAGAAATTATTAGATGAAAACGGCTGCATTGGACCTTTAAGTTTCTACTCTTCTGCTTGTTATTTTGTCAGACTGTATGAAATCTGTGTGGCAAATTCAGCCATACAGGCAGGGTGTAAAGCAGGAGGCTGCATGATCCTTTTCATTAATACTGCAGTATTCCTGGAGATGCCAGGTTTCACATACAGTCGACAGACACAGCAAGGGCAATTCTGTGGGAAAGTCAACCTGAGCATCCACAGGTCAGTCATTTACGAATGGAACGCTGTTCTAATTATCCTTAATGTCTATATCAGGGTTGGGCAACTCCAGTCTTCGGGGGCCTGATTGGTGTCACACTTTTGCCTCAGCCCCAAACACACCTGACTCCAATAATTCATGAATAATCATCTTCAGTTTAGAATGCAATTCGTTTAAATCAGCTGTGTTTGCTCGGGATGGGGAAAAAGTGTGACACCACTCCGGCCCCCAAGGACTGGAGTTGGCCATCCCTTGTCTAGGCTATATGTTGGAGTTACAGAGTAGGATGCCAAAACTCAAAAAAGGCTTTTCAGTCAATCATATTTCATGGCTTTTAGAAAGGACCCACAGAGATTGTTTTTCCACTCACAGCTGTTCCCCAGTGTTAGTTATGAACACTAAGGAGAGGACATCTACTCGAAACTGTGCCCGAGGAAGGCCTCCAGCATCATCTTAGCACACATGCACTCACTCATCCACACACACAGCTACCAGACTCTTATTATGATTGCTAAATACTGCACAATTTAAAAACATTTGCCCCCCAATCCCCAAAACATGTAAATATTGGACTATAAATTGTGCCTTCCTGTATTATACTTATGTTAAGATGTTTATTATATTCTACCGAGCCATTTACATTATGTTCATATTCTTATATTTTCTTATTGTTGTTGCATTATCGAGACGGAACCTGCAAGTAGGTATTTCGTTGGACAGTGTATACCATGTGTATCCCGTACATATACAACTAATAACATTTGATATGTGAAACTTAAAAATGATATGTTAATGAAGCAATACAGACCAAATTGAAGTGTCTTGACTTCTGTTTGCGTGTTCTACAGTCTTGTAAAGATAGGGGGTTACTTGGAGAGGCAATGTAACATCCCAGATGACAACAAATGTGTTTTAACATATTTTGATCAAGACATCATTAAGATTTGAATGTCTATTTCAGACTCTGTAACATCCAGAACGGAGGGTGTAACATCCATAACGGCCGTTTTTGCTCTCTAAAGTAATAATGGAAATGACTATATTTTTATTATTTTGTGTTCAGCCAAGCCTGAATCTATGGCTATCCATATTTTGACCTAAGACTTACAAACTCAGACTTTCACTAATATGCTGTTTAGCCATTCTGTGAGACATTAAGGTTATGATTTTGCGTGCAAACGTAACATCCATTACCCTGGAATCACCGGTAATGCATCAGAGAGAGCTGCTGTGTGTGTGTGTGTTTGTGTTTTGTCAGACTATAGTGATCAGAGCACAACAAACAGAGAATCTCCCATGGAGATTAGAAGGAAAGGTCTTGAAGCTGTGATGTAGAGCGTGAAGCTGTGATGTAGAAAAATCAATGGGATTCTTCTCAGCCCTTTTTAACCCAGAAAAACCATAAAGAAAACGGCTGCTTTGCAGTGTGTCAGAGGTAAATGAATGGGAGAGGGGTGTGTGAGACTGGTCAAGTTGGTGTCTCGTACCTGGCTATCTGAGTGAAAAGAGAAGGGTCAAGGGCACACTAACATTCTCAGTTCCCATGGAAAGGTAAGATAATTCCAATATGTTGATCAAAATGTAAAAGTTTGCGCCTACTTAGAAAGCCCAGCAAAGGTTAGACTTCGTATAACCACATTCTAGCCACGAAACAAAAGACTGAAATATTAGGCTACTGTAGAGGCATTTTCCCCAGAGCAGTGCTGAGTCTTTCACTCCCTTACACATGGTAAGGTCTGAGGAAAAACAAACAAAGCCAGGGAGAGTTATACCTGGCGGCCTGCTGCCCAGCAGTGGCTGACTCACCTCAGTCTAGAGTGGAGGCCCACAGGCTCAACATAAAGGAGCAGTCATTTAAATGTGGAGACAGCATTACTTCTCCTCTGACAGCTAGGCCTACACTGGCATGACATCATAAAGGTGGTGTGGATTTTCCTAGTGGGATAACTGTAATAGAAACATGACAATTAAGGCCTTGTTTTTATCTAGATGAAAACATGTCCTAAAGAGATTACTATTATAGGCCCTCAATCAGAATCTCAAAAGCAAGTGAAGACTGGTCATTAACAAGTTAATCAGATTGTCTTAGGCTAATTTCTTTGACCTATAAATGAGAGTTGAAAGGAGAATGCAGTCAATTCCTGTCATATAGGCTAGGGGTTTTCAAACTGGAGTCTGCAGCAGGTCCGCGATTTTTGTTTTTGTTGAGTTAAAAATATATATATATTTGTTGGGATTTTTTGTGTGAAAAATATTTATTTTATGAATATTGCTAGCGGCAACAGAATACGATCGTGGATACCATTTTTATGTCTCTGCGTCCAGTATGAAGGAAGTTAGAGGCAGTTTCATGAGCCAATGCTAACTAGCGTCAGCTCAATGACTGGAAGTCTACAGGAACATCCGACTCTGGGGAAGTAGATAAATGGCTTCATTGCCAAAATCTCGAACTAACATTATAGTCATTGGAGCTAATTACAGGTATTTTTCTTAGGCGGGCTGTCTAAGGGTTAATTTTCTGAATTGAAAAACAGTTTCAGTGTCAACTTAAATGACCAAAACCAGATAGAAAACATGCAGAAATTATACTTTTATTTGTATAATACCATCTTTGAGAACTAACAATCAAATAAAAGCTCAGGGAGAATTTAAAATTCCAAAAACCGGGCGTGGCGTTCAGGGCACATGCCCATTGATTTTGTTATAATGTTTGAGCAGTGGAACACAGAATTAGCCATAGCAAAATGCATAGAATTGCAGGATATTAGCTTTAAATTTGTAAAATTGTTTCTCAGCTCTATGCCAAACTGTGTAGAATCGCTGGAAATTAGCTTCAAAACCGCAAAATTCTCTCTCTGCTCAATGATATTGCCCATACCACAACCCCACCGCCACCATGGTGCACTCAGTTCACATGAGCAAACCACTCACCGATCTGCCTGGTACAGTTGAAACCGGGTTTCATCTGTGAAGAGCACACTTTACAGCATGCCAGAGGCCATCGAAGGTGAGCATTTTCCCACTAAAGTCGGTTTCGACGCCAAACTGCAGTCAGGTCAAGACCCTGGTGAGGATGACGAGCATGCAGATGAGCTTCCCTGAGACTGTTTCTGACAGTTTGTGCAGAAATTCTTCAGTTGTTCAAGCCCACAGTTTCATCAGCTGTCCGGGTGGCTGGTTTCAGACGATCCTGCAGGTGAAGAAGCCTAATGTGGAGGTCCTGGGCTGGCGTGGTTACACGTGGTCTGTGGTTGTGAGGCCGGTTGGATGCACTGCCAAATTCTCTAAAACGACGCTGGAGGCAGCTTATGGTAGAGAAATGAACATTCAATTCTCTGGTAACAGCTCTGCACATTTTAGAGTGGCCTTTTATTGTCCCCAGCACAAGGTGCACCTGTGTAATGATCTTGCTGTTTAATCAGCTTTTTGATAGGCCACACCTGTCAGGTGAATGAATTATCTTGGCAAAGGAGAAATGCTCACTAACAGGGATGTAAACACATTTGTGCACAAAATTTGAGGAAAATACGCTTTTTGTGGGTATGGAAAATGTTGGGGATCTTTATTTCAGCACATGAAACATGGGACCAACACTTTACATGTTGCGTTTATATTTTTGTTAAGTATATTTAGCCACATGAAGTAGAGGACCACCATAGCCTTCATGTCAGTAGTTAAACCCGGAAGAGAAGTACTCTGCCTTCAATCACAACGTTTTGGATGTGGCATTTCTGACCAATGCAGTGACAACACAAAGCATCCTCATTGTGTGAATTATTAAAGATATGTGAAAAAATGTGATATTGACATCCACACAAAACAACGCACGTCCCACCATTGAATGTAAAGTCATTATTTGACAACTGACAATATAAACATGCTATGGATCAAGCCCAACGTTAACGTTACACCGTGGCACAGCATCCATGCAGCCGTCACAACTGGATATTATGCACCCCCTGATACACCATGTCGCGTTGCGCTCGCATTACTTGATGCACTTGATGACAACATCAGCAATTGCATCAAAATGTATTATCACTGGTGAGGTGGCAAATCATCACAACACCACATAACACACAGAGTGAAACTGAGCGAAAGCTAGATAGAGATTGCTAGCTAAAGTTAGCTAGACAGCCATATATCTACCTCTTTGACTGGGGGGAATTTCTTCTTGCATTCCATGGACAGGGACCGCAGATCTGTCTGCATGTTCTCGAGTAATTTCTTCACCGCTTCGGGGGTGCTGGTCGACATTTTGGATTATGTATTCGACCTAAATATCAAAAGCTTGAAATAATAAGGAACGCAAATGCAATCCTAGGATACTGGTCCCCGGCCTACTTATTCAGCTCTTTTGAAAAAAGAAAAACGCTGTGGACCTCCGCACAAGTGTCCATTGACACAATATTACAGTTTTCTGCTTTGCCCTATCCGTCTGTATGCAGAATCGAAGCGATGACAAGGGCATAAACCTGTCTTCAACAAAAAGCCTAGACGTTAGTGTGATAGATTAGCACAATTCTAGCTACTAGTGCCATTCATATGGTTAATCTTTCTCCGTTTCAGCCGTAGGTTTTACGGCTCCAGCCGTCACCATTGCAAGCACCGTTTCGTTCCCACAATGCTTTGGTAGACATTGACACGTCACTTTGACTTCCGTAAACATGACCGGATTCCAGCAGAATGAATACAGTGTCCCCTGGTGGAGTATTGCAAACAAATTGATGGTACGTCCAACTCTGACGTCACCCCATTGAAGTGGAAATGTAAAATGGTAAGGTTAAGGTTAAGGTTAAGGTAAGTTTTATGGTTAAGGTTAAGGTTAAGGTTAGGGTTTAGGGTATGGACGCCCCAAGGATCCCAGAGAGCACTAACCTTTCTGTAGAGCAATGTACAGGTAACTGCCAAAATAATGGAAACACATGAGTAAATGTGTGGTTCATGAGTTAATTAAGCAATTAACATCCCATAGGGACACGCATAGGGTCATGTATAAAAACGCTGGCTGGCCATTATTTTGGCTACCGTGGCTATGCCCCCATCCATAGGGCATGAGTGGTCACTGAAAGGTTTGATGAGCATGAAAATGATGTAAACCAAATGCCATGGCTGTCACAGTCATCAGATCTCAACCCAATTGAACACTTATGGGATATTCTGGAGGGGTGCCTGAGACAGTATTTTCCACCACCATCAACAAAACACCGATTCATGGAATTTCTCGTGGAAGAATGGTGTCGCATCTCTCCAGTAGAGTTCCAGACACTTGTAGAATCTATGCCAAGGTGCATTGAAGCTGTTCTGGCTCGTGGCGGCTCAATGCCCTATTAGGACAGTTTTATGTTGGTGTTTCTGTTAATTTGGCAGTTAGCCTAGTGGTTAGAGTGTTGGGCCAATAACTGAATGGTTGCTAGTTTGAATACTTGAGCAGAAAAGGTAAAAAAATCTGTCTGTGCCCTTGAGCAATCTACTTAATCCTAATTTGCTCCAGGGGCACCGTACTGCTATGGTTGACCCTGTAAAAACAACACATTTCACTGCACCTATCTGGTGTACAATGAGTGTACAAAAGATTAGGAACACCTGCTCTTTCCATGACATAGGCTGTCCAGGTGAAAGATATGATCCCTTATTGACGTCACTTGTTGAATCCAGTTCAATCATTGTATATGAAGGGGAGGAGACAGGTTAAAGAATGATTTTTAAGCCTTGAGACAGTGGAGACATGGATTGTGTATGTGTGCCATTCAGAGGGTGAATGGGCAAGACAAAATATTTAAGTGCCTTTGAACGGTTTGAGTGTGCTTGGTTTTTAATGCTCAACAGTTTCCTGTGTGTATCAAGAATAGTCCACCACCCAAAGGACATCCAGCCAACTTGACACAACTGTGGGAAGCATTGGAGTCAACATGGGCCAGCATCCCTGTGGAACGCTTTCGACAACTGTAGAGTCTATGCCCCGACAAATTGAGGCTATTCTGAGGGCAAAAGGGGGTGCAACTCAATATTAGGAAGGCGTTCCCTAGTGTTTTGTACACTCAGTGTATGTGACAATAAAGCTTTTTTTTTGTCAGTTACCTGTATGTGCTCAATAGTAAACACACACATATACTAAATATGTTACATTAGAGATTTCTTTGAGGAAAAAATAAAGGCATACAGCACACACATACCTCAATAGATTGATTTCAGTTGGTTATTGACATACTCTGATGTTGATACTCTGCTACCATCTGCCGGCCATTAGAATGTATTAACGTTTTCTCTCTCTCTCTCTCTCTCTCTCTCTCTCTCTCTCTCTCTCTCTCTCTCTCTGGGTTTTGGATCTCTCTCTCTCTTGCTCTCTCTCTGGGTTTTGGATGGAACAGTTATCAAATATCTCTTGTTGTAAAAATGCCATGATATTTTTATGAATTTTTTATTTTACCTTTATTTAACTAGGCAAGTCAGTTAAGAACAAATTCTTTATTTACAATGACGACCTACACCGGCCAAACCCAGACGACACTGGGCCAATTGTGCGCCGCCCTATGGGACTCCCAATCACGGCCGGTTGTGATACAGCCTGGAATCAAACCAGGGGGTCTGTAGTGATACCTCAAGCACTGAGATGCAGTGCCTTAGACCACTGCGCCAATATGACACATATTTCTTTACAATTTTTAATACTAATCTTTTTATTTTACAATGTCAGTTGTAATGATACATGTGAACGGTATTCAGCTTTGCACTTCACTAGACATGGCCTTAGCAATACTGACAAACACATATTGGTAAGCGTAAGAGCTTATCCTTTTCAAAGTTGTTATTGTTTGCTAAGGCAAAAGATGATGATATCATTAATTAATGAATAGACAACAATACAAGCAAATAACAAAGACTATCTAGCATTGTGTGTGTAAACATAAAAGGTATGAAACTCAAGTTCAGTATTACCAGACAAGTCTCTCTGGTCTGTCACCGCTAAGCTGCTCACTATGATGGTATACTATTGTACTGTACAATGATTTCCAATGCAACATTTTGTAAAAAATATATTGAACACAATCCATACTTTCACTAGTTTTGAAACCATGTTTATCATGTGCTTTATCACATTTTCGACTTGGTATACAACTTAGAAATATATACGATTGTATACCGTTTTTAAAAAATCAAGCCGAGGAGTAGCGCAATGCAAATATCATTGTATTACATTTCAGAATAATTAAAACTGACGTAAAACTATGATTAAAATGCTAATACACAATTATTATATTTCCAAGTAAGCTTTTGAATCAAATGCAATACATTTACAGTAAGTCCTACTCCATCCTAATCTCAAACAATAACCTCAGGCTAGCATAGCCTACTATTCAGTCTCCTACGGTTACTACAATAGAAACAGAGAGGTGGGCTTATTTTTGACATAAATCTGGATATTAAACTGTACAGGTTGTGTGTAACATATTAGCACATGCACATAGCATATTTTAATCTGAAGTCACAGTGTTCGTATGAGAAATTGTTAAAGGTCCAATGCAGTCATTTCTATCTCAATATCAAGTCATTTCTAGGTAACAATAAAGTACCATACAATGATTGTTTTCAATTAAGATGGTCAAAAATAAACAAAATTGCTTCTTAGCAAAGAGCAATTTCTCAAGCAAGAATTTTTCTAAGACTGTCTGGGAGTGGTCTGAGTGGCGAGAGGAAAACTGAAAACTAGCTGTTATTGGCAGAGTGGTTTGGAACTCTCTTTCTTATTGGTCTATTAACTAATTTACCGCCTGGTGATGTCACCAAAACAGGCTGAAATTCCAGGTGGTCTTTTCAAACAGCTCTTACACTAAAAAGGCATTATCATCATTTTCACAATTTCACATTATTATTCCAACCTCATAGTGTGGAAATATATACAAAGCACAGGAAAATCTAGTTTTTGACTGCACTGGGCCTTTAAATGATGTATTACTTCTTGTAACCACAATGACATGATGCTTTTAGTTGGCATGTGCCTATCTGATTCCTTCATTTGTCATGTAAAAATGTTGTCAGTTAAGGTTTAGCACATTCAGGTAAATTAACAAACATTGATTAGAATGATGTATTACATTAAACTCATATGACTTCAGCGAGTTCGACATAATGCACTAAAAGAATACCTAATCATAGCAAATTGTGTACACATATGCCGAGAGATGTCCATGAAAAAAGGAAAATAAAAGATGCTTCCTTAGAAAGCAGGTCTAATCATCAGACAAACATTCTCAAGTCTCAACCACGATGGACATATAACAAATCACTGAATCACACCATTTCAATGTCTGCTCAACTTTAGCCATTGGTGAAAGAAATCAGCAAAACCCAGCTAAAGTTCCTGGTTGATAAGGCAACAGTGGGAGAGAGAAGTGGAGACCGACTCTCCCGTGGATGGAAGTGTAGATGGCGGAGAGCCAGTAGCATTGTGTGTGTAAACATAAGTATGTACACGATTTAACAACAGGACAGCACCTGAAGCAGTAGTCTGTGCTGTCTGAGAGACCTTGCAGGAGAGAAAGAGCCAGGGCACAGCAGCACCAGTGTCACTGCATCCATGCTCATTTGGCCGCAGTTGAGCAGTTATGAGGTATTGTTGAGGAGAGGTTTCGGACGGGGCCAAAGCAGAGGCCATGTCAAGGGAATGGACATGGGACCTCGTAAGGTCTGGGTCCACGTTCCTAGCTCTAGCAGTTGGACTCCTTCTCGTTGACGGGGAAGTAGCCTTCCTTGGTGGGAGGGTGTCTCTGACGGAGGCTGTCCCCATCGCCAGCAAAGATGGCCAGCAGCTTCTCTTGCTCCTTCTTGGTTTTAGGTAAGTCAGTGGATGCCGTGGTCAGGATTGTAAAGCGCTACAGAACAACAGAGGAAATAGACAACAACTATTATAGATGCTTTATTGTCACATACACCGGATAGGTGCAGGACACGATTGGTTTGTTATACTGGTTTGTATTGATTTCTAAGTAACAGTAGCTTAAGCCATGACATACTTAGGAGACATGAGACAAAAGCAAGCAGAGGGAAAAGTCAGTGGGGTTAAGGGGTGAAACAGTGGGTGGCGTGTGTGACTTACCTCTTTTAGGGTGCCTTCCACAGAACACATTTTGATGACCACCCAGAGGGGAACACAGAGCATGGAGGACAGGGCCAGGAGCCAGCCCAAGCCGTAGCCCCACCAGGGGTACACATACTCATTGTTGTACTTCAGAGGGGTGTACTTGATCAGGGAGAAGGCAAAGGTACCCTGCAGAGGCAAATAAATGCCTGGTTGCTAGGCTTTTTTCGCATTGATTTAAAAACAACAATACTGACTTGCTTTCATTGGGGTCTTATCCTCTTTTTGAACCTTTACCACTTTCTACAAAATCTTTGTGAATTTGTTTAGCCTTGCTGTGCAATGCCAGATGCTTTTTCAATAGTAACCACCAGTGGGCACCCCTCAGTCAAGAGACATAACAGGGTTTAGTTCAAAAGACAAATACTCACTAAGCAGGTAGCAGGAGTGAAGAACATCCAGCAGTATTTGATAATAGGTCCGGGACGGTAGCCAATCATGTCCTCAATGTTGTCATAGAAACGGTCAGCACCTACAGGAACAGTGAGGAAAGAGAAGAAGAATGGGGCAGGTGTCAGCAACGGACAGATACTCATTAAAGTTTCAAGTTTTATTAGTTGTATGGACGGGATACACACGGTATACACAGAGTATACCAAACATTAGGAACACCTTCCTAATATTGAGCTGCACCCCACTGTCCTTTTGCCCTCAGAACAGACTCAATTCATCGGGGCATGGACTCTACAAGGTGTTAAAAGCGTTCCACAGGGATGGCTGGCCCATGTTGACTCTAATGCTTCCGACAGTTGTGTCAAGTTGGCTGGATGTCCTTTGGGTGTATGGACCATTCTTGATACACACAGGAAACTTTTGAGCGTGAAAAACCCATCAGCGTTGCAGTTCTTGACACAAACCGGTACGCCTGGCATCTACTACCATACCCCGTTCAAAAGGCACTTAAATATTTTGTCTGCGCCCATTCACCCTCTGAATAGCACACATGCACAATCCATGTCTCAATTGTCTCAAAGGTTAAAAATCCTTCTTTAATCTGTTTCCTCCCCTTCATCTACACTGATCGAAGTGGATTTAACAAGTGGCATCAATAAGGGATCATAGCTTTCACCTGGATTCACCTGGTCAGTCTGTCATGGAAAGAGCAGGTGTTCTTAATGTTTTGTATACTCAGTGTATACCGTCCAATGATATGCATATTTGCAGGTTCCCTCGACAGTGCAATAACAAATCATAAAAGATAAGAATACGAACATAAAGTAAATGGTTCAGTAGTATAGAATAAACATTTTTGCATAAGTATAATACAGGAAGGCACAATTTATAGTCCAATATTTACACATGTTTTGAGGGAGGGGGGATTGGGGTGCAAGTGTTTAAATTGCGCAGTAATTAGCAATCATAATAAGAGTCTGCTAGCAGCAGTTATGATGCGTGTAGGATCAATGTATATGTGTGTGTGTGTGTGTGTGTGTGTCTGTGTTGGTGAGTGCATGAGTGAGTGCATGCACTGTAAACCCCAAGGCATTTTTAACTCAAATACTTCTAGTAATGAAAAGTCATTATTACTTAAAATGCTTATGTGGTACTGACTCAAAACTAAATGAGAAGTCACATCAAGTCTATTTGTTAAAGTTATGATAACAAATTAACTGCAGGTCGATTTTTTGTAATTGTTTTAAGTCCATGTAAATACATTATATTCTACCATACCACATTGTCAGGTACTAAACTAAATGCACTATATTGTACCATACCACATCATCAGGTACTAAACTAAATGCACTATATTCTACCATACCACATCATCGGGTACTAAACTAAATACACTATATTCTACCCTCCCGCGGGGGCACATCTATCCTCTCTCGCATGCAGAGACCGAAGCCATTGAGGTCTACATCCAGGAGGCGCTGGCCCAAGGATTCCTCCGTCCGTCCACCTCTCCGGCCTCTTCCAGCTTCTTTTAGGTGAAGAAGAAGGATAGGGGTCTCCGCCCCTGTATCGATTACCGGACACTGAATAAGGCTACGGTTAAATTGAGTTATCCCCTGCCTCTCGTACTCACTGTGATCGAACAGATGCACGGTGCTAAGTACTTTACCAAATTGGATTTATGCAGTGCCTACAACCTGGTGTGCATCAGAGAGGGAGATGAATGGAAGACCGCCTTCAGCACCGGGCACTACGAATACAGGGTAATGCCCTACGGCCTGACAAATGCACCCTCGGTGTTCCAATCCTTCATTAACGAGGTGTTTAGAGACATGTTGGGTCGCTCTGTAGTGGTGTACATAGACGACATCTTGGTGTACTCCACTACACGCGAGCAACATGTCTCTCATGTCAGGTCTGTTTTGGAGAGGCTGACAGGGCATCACCTGTACGCCAAGGCGGAGAAGTGCCTTTTCTTCCAGCAGGCGGTCTCCATCCTGGGCTATCGGATATCCACCGTGGGAGTGGAGATGGAAGTACAGAGGGTCAGTGCAGTACGGTCGTGGCCTGTTCCCTCCAACATCAAGGCGGTGCAGCGCTTCCTAGGTTTTGCCAAGTATTTCAGGCGCTTCATTAGGGGTTTCAGCACAGTGGTGGCCCCTCTCACCTCCCTCCTGAAGGGAGGTCCTCGACAGCTGCGCTGGACTTGGGAGGCCAACAAAGCTTTTCGTGCGCTCAAGGAACGGTTTAAGAACGCACCGGTTCTGGCTCACCCTGACCCGTCTCTGCCCTTCATCGTGGAGGTGGATGCCTCCGAGTTTGGAGTAGGGGCTGTTCTCTCCCAACGTACTGGATCGCCGCCTAAACTCCATCCTTGCGCCTTCTACTCACGGAAGCCGTCTCCCGCTGAGCGGAATTACGACGTAGGGGATTGTGAGTTGTTGGCCGTCAAGAAGGCGCTGAAGGCATGGCGGCACTGGCTGGAGGGTGCTCAACACCCATTCCTTGTCTGGACGGACCACCGGATCCTAGAGTACATTCGAGCAGCGAAGAGGCTTAACCCGCGTCAGGCCAGCTGGGCCCAATTCTTCACCAGGTTTGACTTTACCCTCTCCTACCGGCCGGGATCTAAGAATGTTAAGGCCGATGCGTTGTCCCGGGTGCATGACACAGAGGATTGGAGGGAGGAAGTGACACCCATTATTCCCCTGTCCCGCATTGTGGCTCCTGTTGTGTGGAATGTGGACGCGGACATCCGTCGAGCCCTGCGACAGGAGCCCTCACCTGCTCACTGTCCCGAGGGGCATATATACTTGCTCTCTGATGTGCGGGACCGTCTCCTCGCCTGGGCACACACAGCACCTGTTTCGGGGCACCCGGGTATAGCCTTTACTATCGACTGTCTCTCCGCCAAGTACTGGTGGTCCACCTTGGCCCGGGATGTCCGGGTTTACGTCTCTTCTTGCTCCACCTGCGCACAGAGCAAGACACCTCCCCTATGGCAAACTCCACCCGCTGCCGGTCCCATCTCACTGTGGACTTTGTCACAGACCTTCCCCCCCCTCGGAGGGACACCATCCTGGTCGTTGTGGACCGGTTTTCCAAAGCCTGTCATTTGATTCCTCTGCCTGGTCTCCCTACGGCCATGCAGACCGCGGAGGCTCTCTTCTATCACGTCTTCTGGCACTACGGGTTCCCGGAGGACATCGTGTCTTACCGTGGTCCTCAGTTCACCTCCCGTGTCTGGAAGGCCTTCATGGAACGACTGGGGGTCATGGTCACCTCCGGGTACCGTCCCCAATCAAATGGGCAGGTGGAAAGGGTAAATCAGGAACTGGGTAGGTACCTTCGTAGTTACTGTCAGGACCGGCCGGGAGAGTGGGCTACGTTTCTGCCTTGGGCAGAATACGCACAAAACTCCCTCTGTCACTCCTCCACTAACCTCACACCGATCATCACCGCAGTGTGGCCCCGGTCTTTCACCCCGGTGACAGGGTCTGGCTTTCTACGAAGGACCTGCCCCTCTGCCTGCCCTGCCGGAAGCATCTGGTCCTTTGGCTAGTGCTGGACCCCACAACACACCTCCCCCTCCCTTGGACGTCGAGGGAGCCCCGGCGTATTCCGTCCGCAGCCTGTTGGACTCTAGGCGTCGTGGGGGGGGGGGGTACTGTCACACCAGCCTTTACGTTGGCTCCCCCTCCTGTCCAGCTCAGGCGTTCGGCGTCGCCGGCCTTCTAGCTGCTGCCGAACCTGCTGCTGGCAAACGCTCTTCACTCATCAACCCCGGACTTGTCTCGTCATCATTACACACACCTGGTTCCAATCCCCACTCTATCACTGTATAAATACTCCCTCTGTCATTTGTCTTTGTCAGTTATTGTATATGTTGCTTGTTTTCCTGAGAGGAATCTCTCCTACTATTTCCTGAGTACATTATATTTTGCGCTTTGGGTTTCGTCTGCTTTAAGCTATGGTGCTTTAATAAATTCAGTAGTTCTAAACCTGCGACTGCCTCCTGCCTACTGCTCTCTACACTTGTGACAATTATAATGGTAATATACGCCTAGGAACTCACTTGGTGAAGGCCACAGGACTGAAAATAAACAAATTCAACAACCATACAGTGGGGAGAACAAGTATTTGATACACTGCCGATTTTGCAGGTTTTCCTATTTACAAAGCATGTAGAGGTCTGTAATTTTTATCATAGGTACACTTCAACTGTGAGAGACGGAATCTAAAATCAATCAAAAATCCAGAAAATCACATTGTATGATTTTTAAGTAATTCATTTGCATTTTATTGCATGACATAAGTATTTGATACATCAGAAAAGCAGAACTTCATATTTGCTACAGAAACCTTTGTTTGCAATTACAGAGATCATACGTTTCCTGTAGGTCTTGACCAGGTTTGCACACACTGCAGCAGGGATTTTGGCCCACTCCTCCATACATACCTTCTCCAGATCCTTCAGATTTCGGGGCTGTTGCTGGGCAATATGGACTTTCAGCTCCCTCCAAAGATTTTCTATTGGGTTCAGGTCTGGAGACTGGCTAGGTCACTCCAGGACCTTGAGATGCTTCTTACGGAGCCACTCCTTAGTTGCCCTGGCTGTATGTTTCGGGTCGTTGTCATGCTGGAAGACCCAGCCACGACCCATCTTCAATGCTCTTACTGAGGGAAGGAGGTTGTTGGCCAAGATCTCGCGATACATGGCCCCATCCATCCTCCCCTCAATATGGTGCAGTTGTCCTGTCCCCTTTGCAGAAAAGCATCCCCAAAGAATGATGTTTCCACCTCCATGCTTCACGGTTGGGATGGTGTTCTTGAGGTTGTACTCATCCTTCTTCTTCCTCCAAACACGGCGAGTGGAGTTTAGACCAAAAAGCTCTATTTTTGTCTCATCAGACCACATGACCTTCTCCCATTCCTCCTCTGGATCATCCAGATGGTCATTGGCAAACTTCAGACGGGCCTGGACATGCGCTGGCTTGAGCAGGGGGACCTTGCGTGCACTGCAGGATTTTAATCCATGACGGCGTAGTGTGTTACTAATGGTTTTCTTTGAGACTGTGGTCCCAGCTCTCTTCAGGTCATTGACCAGGTCCTGTCCGTGTAGTTCTCACCTTCCTCATGATCATTGATGCCCCACGAGGTGAGATCTTGCATGGAGCCCCAGACCGAGGTTGATTGACCGTCATCTTGAACTTCTTCCATTTTCTAATAATTGCGCCAACAGTTGTTGCCTTCTCACCAAGCTGCTTGCCTATTGTCCTGTAGCCCATCCCAGCCTTGTGCAGGTCTACACTTTTATCCCTGATGTCCTTACACAGCTCTCTGGTCTTGACCATTGTGGAGAGGTAGGAGTCTGTTTGATTGAGTGTGTGGACAGGTGTCTTTTATACAGGTAACGAGTTCAAACAGGTGCAGTTAATACAGGTAATGTGTGGAGAACAGGAGGGCTTCTTAAAGAAAAACTAACAGGTCTGTGAGAGCCGGAATTCTTACTGGTTGGTAGGTGATCAAATACTTATGTCATGCAATAAAATGCAAATTAATTACTTAAAAATCATACAATGTGATTTTCTGGATTTTTGTTTTAGATTCCGTCTCTCACAGTTGAAGTGTACCTATGATAAAAATTACAGACCTCTACATGCTTTGTAAGTAGGAAAACCTGCAAAATCAGCAGTGTATCAAATACTTGTTCTCCCCACTGTATATCTGTCACTAACAAATACAGTTATGGGTGTTAACTGTACAATTCACTCAAAAAGGCAAGGCACACTGGGAAATTATATTGGAGGCATGGTTTAGTGGGGGCGCTACTCAACATTTTCAAGCTGATACAACTCAAATCTGGACCACCTACATGGTCACAGTGACTATCGGTTTGAATAATGGCTACAAAATGTATTTAAATAACTGTACTCAGATATATTTAGTGCAACAGGTTTCCTCCAAAGTTTTGAGTAATGACAGCACATTGGGGTTTACAGTGTGCGGAGAATCAGAATTGGTGGTCAGTCCAGTTCAAGTGTTCAGCAGTCTGATGGACTGTTGATATAAACTGTCTCTGAGCCTGTTGGTATCAGACTTCATGCTCCGATATCATCTGCTGTGGGCCTTGCTCAGGCACCGTTTCGGTACGCAATACTAATTTGTTACATCTAACTGGTCGCTCAAAGTAGTATCAATCTCTTTTTTTTTCCTTTTTCAAAATGGTCTAATAATATCACATTCAGCTAGTTGTTCCTCTCCCAGAGGCCCTTTCACTTCTATTAATAGCAGACTACTGATGGAGGGCAGAGGATGGCTCAATGAAAATACTGCCTTTGTCATGCTAATGTCCCCCTCAATGCATTCCCTCATAACTTGGCTAAACACTCACCATAAATCCAAGCAATGCAAACAGTCTCAAAGACAGCCACAAAGAGCAGGCACATCCCACTGGCAGCATAGTAGTCAAAGAGTTGGAAGACGTACATGCCTCCCTGGAGAGAGAAACGTGTTACGTTACGGCAGGGCAGCTTGGGACACTTTCTCTATTTCATCATCCCATGCACCTCCAAGACCACATGTAGAACAACATGTAGAGCATGTATTATGCCTCGATCACACCGACAGCATCATTGCATTTTGGTACACCAGAAGTACATTTGTTTCCAATGGAACTCTGCGTTTGACTTGCAACATTGCATTGCAGAGGCAGTTGCAGTGCGTTCTTTGTGGTGCATACATTGGATTTATCAAACGTATGTGTCAAACTGTATGCTAAGACGGCTTGACAGAAATGGTAGCGGAAGGTGAATGTTGAACTTTTGTTGCATACATATCCAGATGATTGCTGCGTACCATTTTGCGCAATAACACTTTAGGTCTGATCGAGGCATTAGAGAGGCTAAACATCATGCACAGAATAAAGGTTCCTGATTTCAGTAACCTATAGTATGTGGCTGTTTTTCTTACCAACGTGACAATGTGACAGTCTCCTTCTGTAACTCAGTTGGTTTAGCATGGCACTTGTAATGCAAAGGTAGTGGGTTCAATTCCTGTGGTCCACCCATATGTAAAATGTATGCACGCATGACTGTAAGTCGCTTTGGATAAAAGCGTCTGCTAAATGGCATATGTTATGTTACAAGAAACAAAGCCCTAAATGAAAACATTTGGGATTTCGTTCTTGTTGATGAAAATATGTGAACGTTTCTGCTACTGTGCAGTTCTGAGACATGACCATAGGTAATAATAATAATAACAATAATAATAATAATAATAATTTAGGTAGGTGCTTATATTTGTCCTATTAGTACTTGTGTGTATTTTTTTTTGCATATCCCAACTCCCCCTGAGACACCCGTGGAGAGTTGGGGTCAGAGCCAGGGTCAGCCATTTTACCAGTGTCCATGAACCAGTTGGGGTCCTGGGGGGCACTGTGGGCTGTGGCCTACCTCTGTCAGCATGATAAGACCCATGAGGAAGGAAACAATGGCCACCGCCAAGATGAAGAGCTCTCTGCGGTTCTTACGACGAAAAGTTTTAGGGTACATGTCCACCATGGCCGTCACCAGACTCTCCACACAGACAAACTACAGCAGGGGAGAGAACAGATGGGATGCTGTGTCACTGATTTAAAAAACACCACCGTGGACACTGTTAGAGCAGAGTTTACAAGCATATTGTGTGTGTGTGTGTCAGAAAGAAAGTGAATGAGTGAGAGAGTGAGAGAGAGAGAGAGAGAGAGAGAGAGCAAGAGAGCGAGAGAGAGAGCGAGAGAAAGAGAGTGAGAGAGAGAGAGCGAGAGAAAGAGAGCGAGAGAAAGAGAGAGAGAGAGCGAGAGAAAGAGAGCGAGAGAAAGAGAGAGAGAGAGGAGACAGAGTGCTGTTCTAGCCTCACCTGGCTGTCCAGCCCCAAAAAGACAATCATGATGAAGAAGAAACAGGCCCAGAGAGGAGAGAAGGGCATCATAGACACTGCACGGGGGTAGGCTATGAAGGCCAGACCAGGACCTGGTACACAAACAGTTAATACAGGTATATAACAGGTCATAGAGTCCTAACAGGTCATAACAGGTCACTACAGAATTGTCATCCTGTGAGCAGGACTTTGGATCCACATTGCAACAACGACCTCCACCCGATTGTATTGTAAAACTACTAGGTTATCTTTGGATTCTCTGAACCTTGAAAGTTGACTTGTAAAGATTAACATGTCATTATCATGGAAAGGCCATTACAGCACAGTTTAACAAAGTGTTTTTCTCTTGAACAGTGTGGGAAATGTACAGTTACTAACCTCTTAAGTGGGCAGGAGCGTTTCTACTAATTCACATACCAAAATATATTGCTAAAATGTCACAGATGATTACATATGACAACACAAGTGCATACAGTAAAATACATGTTGAATTATGGAAAATCATGACCATTTTCCTAATGATGAACTGTCTAGAATGGTCTGTGTGTGTCTGTTAAAAATGACTACCAACCAGATTCTGCCACCTCTGAGATGGGCACGTTCTGCTCGTAAGACATGAATCCCAGGATGGAGAAGATAGCAAAGCCTGCCACGAAGCTGGTCCCACTGTTCAGGAAGCATAACGCCAAGCAATCTCTGTAACCCCAGAGAGACAGTCGTCAGCCAGGCATAGATACCAGCCACAACAGATATACTGTATGTATGACAAAGTAAAACATAACAACTTCAAAGCAAAATCAATACTATATTGTGAAACAAATACTGTACAAAATACAGATAAAGATACAGAACAAATGGTTCTGACAACCTGTTATTAGCTTACTAGGTTAACTTATTATGGTGTAAAACAGAACAAATCACTTATCAGTCTTAGAAGTCTAAGCCTTTGGGGGGGGGGGGGGGGGGGGGGGGGGTCTTCTAAGCTAATATATGGAATTGTTTTAAGATGGTCATACCATGAATCATTTAGCTATTTGATTTTGAATTTTAGGACCCATGTAGGTATCCCCCCCAAATATTTAAAAATTATTTGATAAAATATTTAATTTAGCCTTTACTGCTATAGCCCATATAAATCATTGAATAGCACATTCATAAATGGCTAAACATACAGTCAAAAAATAAATAATATGGAATAAGGTTTTGAAGTGTCTGTCCTATATCTAGGAGATATAAGATGGCTCAGGATTTTTGTTATTTGTTTTCCATACTTCCATTCATTTTTTAAACCGGTACCAGGTTACCTTCAGACGAGTCACGTGACACTTGTAGGGGTCGTAGAACAACAATAACAACAAACGTTTGTGTTCGTGAGAGTCTAGTGGGGTCATGTTAGTTTGTAGCCCAAACGGTTTGGACGCTACAGACTGAAGTTGGCACATAGGTAGTACCGACTTCAGAGTCCAGTGGGGCTTGTGGGGGTCATAGAGCAAAACGGTGAACACCATCGTGTCCGTTCGGATGCTATAGACATTTTCGTGAGAAGACCAATTTTCAGGATGTCTCCTGGTCTGACAAACAGCATTGTAGCTCTGTCAATTTTCACCGAAGATTCCGAAGGCCGACATAGAAGATTCTGGTGGATTGAGACGCAGCCCATGCAATAAAATTGACATCGCTAGATTAAATAGACAGATTTCTATGGGGATTTTTGTATTATATTAATTAGATTGACGCATGGGTGCGTCAATCGACTCTAGGTTGGTTTAAGACAGAGATACACCTGCTTATTGTTGGGTGTCAGTCATTTCTGACTAGGGTAAGTAGGAGGTGTAGGTGTAAGTGTCTGTCCTGAGGTGAGCACTGACCTGTAGCAGTTGTTGTTGTACTTGTTGTAGCTTCCCAGAGCAGTCAGACACCCCAGACAGATGGCATAGGAGAAGAAGATCTGAGTCCCTGCATCCATCCATACCTAGAAAGAAGAGGGAGAAACCATACCAATGCCTTTTCATTTGCTGGGAGAAACCATGGCATTGCTCCTGGCTAATACCTTTATTTCTATGAAGCACATCACTTTAGTCAAAGACAGCTATAAACCCCTTCCGGTGAGACATTTGGTGTGTACATATGACCTACACATTCCTCATTCTGTGGTAAAACCTGTCACCCCATTTCTCGTCACTTATGTGACCACCCACAATGGCCACCCCAGTATGCTGGCTCTCCATCTCTATGGCTCCCCAGCACCAAGTGTGGTACTTTTCCACCACAGACTCTGTGAACAACCAGCGCAACACAGTTCCAATTTAAATTAGGGTGCCCTTTGTTCTCCCTATTCACCAAAGTCGTGCTGAAGCACAGAGGGCACGTTTCAATTAGCTGCCTGGCAGCCAGGAATACTTCTTCCTGAGTCCCAAATGGCACCCTATTGCCTATGTAGTGCATTACTTTTGACCAGTGCCTATAGGGCTCTGGTCAAAAGTAGTGCACTTTATAGAGAATAGGTTGCCATTGGGACACAGCTTTTGATTCAGCCAGTCCAGTGCAAAGACACAAGCCTGGCCATAGCCACTTAGGCAGATGTTCCCATCATACAGACAGCTTGCCTCCATTTGTTGAATGGGGGCCAAAATTGAGAAGTGGTTGTGAAATCTCTCTCTCTCTCTTTCACTTTTATTTATACAGGTAAGTCAATTAAGAACACATTTTATTTACAATGACATCAGGGAGCGAGCGCAGCACGTATATAACACACAAATAGGTTAAACAATATCATCCAAACAAACAGTCAAAAATACTAAAAAATCACAGTCAGTAAAACTCTCTCTCTCTCTCTCTCTCTCTCTCTCTCTCTCTCTCTCTCGCTCTCTCGCTCTCTCGCTCTCTCTCGCTCTCTCGCTCTCATAACCAGACGAGAACTAGCCTAGGAGCAGTGCTTGCTGACCACATTCCTCATGCCGCCGTTCATGAGACATCACCCGTCCACTCGTCAAATATTCCTAGGGACTGCCAACTTTACAGATTCAGTCATTCTCTGGCACAGCATTAGTTTGCGAGACAATGTCCTCCTGGTTTTTCCCATGTCATGTTCTTCTCATGATCAGACATTTATATGTTTTATTTATTGTTTATTCTTTTATATATATATTTTTCTTTAAAAAAAAATGTAGAGGGTAGATCAGCTTTAATATTGCAGATATATTGTAACTTCCATCAATGTAATTGTCTGCATCACTTCCAATCCCCCATATGTTTCTTTCTCGCAAATATATATATATATACACTGCTCAAAAAAAAAGGGAACACCTAAACAACACAATGTAACTCCAAGTCAATCACACTTCTGTGAAATCAAACTGTCCACTTAGGAAGCAACACTGATTGACAATACATTTCACATGCTGTTGTGCAAATGGAATAGACAACAGGTGGAAATGATAGGTAATTAGCAAGACACCCCCCAATAAAGGACTGGTTTTGCAGGTGGTGACCACAGACCACTTCTCAGTTCCTATGCTTCCTGGCTGATGTTTTGGTCACTTTTGAATGCTGGCGGTGCTTTCACTCTAGTGGTAGCATGAGACGGTGTCTACAACCCACACAAGTGGCTCAGGTAGTGCAGCTCATCCAGGATGGCAAATCAATGCGAGCTGTGGCAAGAAGGTTTGCTGTGTCTGTCAGCGTAGTGTCCAGAGCATGGAGGCGCTACCAGGAGACATGCCAGTACATCAGGAGACGTGGAGGAGGCCGTAGGAGGGCAACAACCAAGCAGCAGGACTGCTACCTCCGCCTTTGTGCAAGGAGGAGCAGGAGGAGCACTGCCAGAGCCCTGCAAAATGACCTCCAGCAGGCCACAAATGTGCATGTGTCTGCTCAAACGGGGGCCCGACGTCCACAGGTGGGGGTTGTGCTTACAGCCCAACACCGTGCAGGACGTTTGGCATTTGCCAGAGAACACCAAGATTGGCAAATTCGCCACTGGCGCCCTGTGCTCTTCACAGATGAAAGCAGGTTCACACTGAGCACATGTGACAGACGTGACAGAGTCTGGAGACGCCGTGGAGAACGTTCTGCTGCATGCAACATCCTCCAGCATGACCGGTTTGGCGGTGGGTCAGTCATGGTGTGGGGTGGCATTTCTTTGGGGGGCCGCACAGCCCTCCATGTGCTCGCCAGAGGTAGCCTGACTGCCATTAGGTACCGAGATGAGATCCTCAGACCCCTTGTGAGACCATATGCTGGTGCGGTTGGCCCTGGGTTCCTCCTAATGCAAGACAATGCTAGACCTCATGTGGCTGGAGTGTGTAAGCAGTTCCTGCAAGAGGAAGGCATTGATGCTATGGACTGGCCCGCCCGTTCCCCAGACCTGAATCCAATTGAGCACATCTGGGACATCATGTCTCGCTCCATCCACCAACGCCACGTTGCACCACAGACTGTCCAGGAGTTGGCGGATGCTTTAGTCCAGGTCTGGGAGGAGATCCCTCAGGAGACCATCCGCCACCTCATCAGGAGCATGCCCAGGCGTTGTAGGGAAGTTATACAGGCACACACACTACTGAGCCTAATTTTGACTTGTTTTAAGGACATTACATTAAAGTTGGATCAGCCTGTAGTGTGGTTTTCCACTTTAATTTTGAGGGTGACTCCAAATCCAGACCTCCATGGGTTGATAAATTTGATTTCCATTGATAATTTTTGTGTGATTTTGTTGTCAGCACATTCAACTATGTAAAGAAAAAAGTATTTAATAAGATTATTTCATTCATTCATTATTTTAGTGTTCCCTTAATTTTTTTGAGCAGTGTATATACATATACATATACATACATACAATCGTGGTCAAAAGTTTTGAGAATGACACAAATATTAATTTTCACAAAGTCTGCTGCCTCAGTTTTTATAATGGCAATTTGCATATACTCCAGAATGTTATGAAGAGTGATCAGATGAATTGCAATTAATTGCAAAGTCCCTCTTTGCCATGAAAATGAACTTAATCCCAAAAAAACATTTCCACTGCATTTCAGCCCTGCCACAAATGGACCAGCTGACATCATGTCAGCGATTCTCTCGTTAACACAGGTGAGAGTGTTGATGACGACAAGGCTGGAGATCACTCTGTCATGCTGATTGAGTTAGAATAACAGACTGGAAGCTTTAAAAGGAGGGTGGTGCTTGAAATCATTGTTCTTCCTCTGTTAACCATAGTTACCTGCAAGGAAACACGTGCCGTCATCATTGCTTTGCACAAAAAGGGCTTCACAGGCAAGGATATTGCTGCTAGTAAGATTGCACCTAAATCAACCATTTATCGGATCATCAAGAACTTCAAGGAGAGAGGTTCAATTGTTCTGAAGAAGGCTTCAGCGCGCCCAAGAAAGTCCAGCAAGCGCCAGGACCGTCTCCTAAAGTTGATTCAGCTGCGGGATCGGGGCACCACCAGTGCAGAGCTTGCTCAGGAATGGCAGCAGGCAGGTGTGAGTGCATCTGCACGCACAGTGAGGCGAAGACTTTTGGAGGATGGCCTGGTGTCAAGAAGGGCAGCGAGGAAGCCACTTCTCTCCAGGAAAAACATCAGGGACAGACTGATATTCTGCAAAAGGTACAGGGATTGGACTGCTGAGGACTGGGGTAAAGTCATTTTCTCTGATGAATCCCCTTTCCGATTGTTTGGGGCATCCGGAAAACACTTTGTCCGGAGAAGACAAGGTGAGCGCTACCATCAGTGCTGTGTCATGCCAACAGTAAAGCATCCTGAGACCATTCATGTGTGGGGTTGCTTCTCAGCCAAGGGAGTGGGCTCACTCACAATTTTGCCTAAGAACACAGCCATGAATAAAGAATGGTACCAACACATCTTCTGAGAGCAACTTCTCCCAACCATCCAAGAACAGTTTGGTGACAAACAATGCCTTTTCCAGCATGATGGAGCACCTTGCCATGAGGCAAAAGTGATAACTAAGTGGCTCGGGGAACAAAACAACTCCCCAGACCTTAATCCCATTGAGAACTTGTGGTCAATCCTCAAGAGGCGGGTGGACAAACAAAAACCCACAAATTCTGACAAAGCATTGATTATGCAAGAATGGGCTGCCATCAGCCATAATAAATAGATATGCCGATAGTGGACAACCTTGTTTTACTCCTCTTGACAGTTTAAAACTTTCTGAGAAATAGCCATTATTTACTATTTTACACCTAGGGTTACTATACATGATTTTAACCCATTTTATAAGAGATTGTCCAAAATTGAAATGCTCCAGCCATTTATATATAAACCCCAGTCGTACTTTATCAAAAGCCTTTTCAAAGTCAGCTATGAATAGCAGGCCTGGTTTCCCAGATTTTTCATAGTGTTTTATTGTTTCCTGTACTTGCCTTATATTATCTCCAATGTACTAACTGTAAGTCGCTCTGGATAAGAGCGTCTGCTAAATGACTAAAATGTAAAATGTAAATGTATCGTCCATGTAAAAAACCTGTCTGATTAGAATGAATAATGTCCGACAATTCCTTTTTAATTCTATGTGCTATACATTTTGCTAGAATTTTTGCATCACAACACTGAAGTGTAACGGGCCTCGATCTTTATATTTCCCAGTTATATCCTGATTCATTAATAATAATATCAGACATTCTTCTTGAGTGTCTGATAATCTACCATTTACATAGGAGTGGTTAAAACATGCCAATAACGGTCCTCTGACTATATCAAAAAAGGTTTGGTATACCTCAACTGGTATGCCATTCAACCCTGGAGTTTTCCCGGACTTAAAGTCTTTAATTGCATCCAGAAGTTCCTCCTCTGCAATTTCACCTTCACATGAGTCTTTCTGTATGGCTGTTAACATTATCAATATAGAAAAAACACCTACAATTAGCTTCAGTTAGAGGAGATGGAGCCGGATGAAATGAAAACATATGCTTAAAGTACTTTGCTTCCTCCTTCAAAATATAATTTGGTGAATCATGGGTGACTCCGTCATTTGCAACCAGTTTCAGTTAATTCTTTTTGGTAGCATTTCTATGTTGAAGACTAAAAAAGAATTTGGTGCATTTTTCCCCATATTCCATCCAGTTTGCTTTATTTTTATAACATATTACACTTGATCTTTCTTGAATAAGTTCCTCCATTTCTTTTTGTTAATCATAGAGTGTTGTATTGCTTGCAGGGTTGATAATTTTCAAAGAAGTGTGGATCATCATTATTTGGTCCGTAAAGGTTAATGAGCCATATCTATTTATGTTCAATAACATATTTAAAATCATCCATCTACCTTGCGGATCTGTTTGGACAATTTGCACATTCGGATCAAAATTACTGTTAATTAATATCATCATATTTTTATTTGTTAATGATCAATCTTGATAATCTTGATAACAATCTTGGTGATATTGAGTTAGTTCCCTCAAATTCCTAAGCACAGTATAATAATCACTTCAACAGCTCAACTAATGAAATTAATAATTAATTGTCCAAACTCTATGTGGCTACACATATTGTAGTCATAAACTAGGTACAAGAAGTGTGACTGTGAGAGGTGTTTTAATGCTGACAGGCAGAGGTCAGAGGAACACTAGGTAAGTCTATAGGGTCATTGTGTCAAACACTGTGGGTTTTTCCACTTCCCACAGTGATGGTATGGGTGTGTTTGTATGTATAATGTGTGTGTGTGTGTGTGTGTGTGGGGGGGGGGGGGGGGGGGGGGGGGGGTTGGTTCCTCTATCCTTGTGGGGACATAAAATCCCCTTGTGTGTGTGTGAAAGGGCTGTGTGGGTTTTCCACTTCCCAAAGATATGATGGTATGGGTGTGTTTGTACATATAATGTGTGTGTGTACATGTGTCTGTACAATACATGTACCTGTGGATCTGACAGGCGTCCCAGGTCTGGGTAGAGGTAGAACTTGATTCCTATGAATGCTCCTGGCAGGGTGACCCCTCTGATGAGCAGGATAGACAGCATGATGTAGGGGAAGGTAGCTGTGAAATATACCACCTGAGAGGGGTGGAATGGGGTTAGGCTTAGGGTTAAATTGTGCAGACATGCTGCTACAGTATGTACAGTGCAGTACAGTACAGCACCAAGAGTCACAGATGGATTAACCAGTGGTCTATTCATAACAAAAAGCAAAAAGGTCAATGAATGGTCTCTAGTCATCTCAGCTATCACATTATCTGCCAGACTTCAAAAGGACCACATATCTAGAATACTTGGCTGTCCAAAGGTATTAAGCAACATTGAGAAAATGCATAAGAATACTTAGAAAATGTCCTGAAAAAGTCACCTGACTGACCAGGAGCAACTCTTAGTCATGTTCATTGCCATAGACTCTGATATTGACTGTTTCAAATTTAAGAGCCTATCCTGTAAGAACACCTTTCTATATTCCGGCGCTGTTAAGGGGAACAAACTACCACAACAACTTAAAGCTATACCTAGCAGATCGTATTTTAAAAAGTATGTCAAAAGCTGGCTGATGACCAAACCATAGACCCATTTTCATGTCTGTATCTACAGTATGTAATGTATCCAAGTCGGCATCTATGTAATGTGTTGCACCATGCACTTTAAGGAACCACAATGGAAATAAGTCATTGACTTTATTGTATAATCCCTGTCAAGGTTTTCAAAAGTATGTACTGTGTGTATATGCATACTGTGTGTATATGCAATTAATCAATCAATGAACGGCCCAGAGGTTCTTCCTGGTCAGAAACTGCATTAGGGAGGCTCACAGAGAGAGACTGTAGAGTAGAGCCATTTACCTTGCCAGTGGACTTGACTCCCTTCCAGATACAGAAGTAGACTAGTACCCAGGCTATGGCCAGACACAGCACCAGGTCCCAGTTGAGAGATCCTATATGATCTATGCCAGAGGAGATACGCAGAACCCTCCGCCTACACACACATGCACACACACAAACACACACACACGCACAAGCAAATATGACTTTCAGTGTGATCATTATTTAGATATGAATATCTAACATGAATACTAAGCTCTGATATTCCAGCAAAAGTAATGTGGATGCTTGTTAACTATTTACATTAGGGGGGCATATCCTGTATACTATTTGTCAGGACATAACACAACCCTCCAATTCAGCCTCAAGCCAGCCTGTTTTTGTATTCAGCAGCGCTACACTAGTTGGCAAGACAACGGCCAGTTGGCCGAGGAATAAACATTAGGCCAACCAGGCTCCTTAAGGAGATGGAGAAACAATAGACTCTAAGCAGCACTTAGTACTTACTCCCAGAACTCAATGACAGGAGACGTGGCGTTCAGACGTGGCTGATTGAAAGAGTCATTCCTCCTCTGGAACTCCATGCAGGAATCTTGAGAACAGAGATGCACAACAAGTTCACACACACGTTTACTGAGAACACCAGCTATGTGGTTTTTCTATTGTAACATTACGTAAGGCTACATGAGACACCAAGTAGTCAGGGATGTTTCGGCTCAGCCACTGTCTGTGTATGGTGGCAGATTGGAGTTTTCCTTATTCAGTCTTGTTTCGAGGGCAGCTCTGCCTCGAGGGCAGAAACAATGTGAATGTTTAGGCAAGAAATATGATTGGTTAAATTGAAGTAATCCCAATTGGTTAGGGTTGGTTTAGCGGTTGGGTAACATTCGAACTAGCAACCTTGCCCGTAAGCTGTTCACATTAGTTCTGCCTTTTGGCAGAACTTCAACAAGATTGAATAAGGAAAAGTCCACTGAGTGTATGGTGGATCTCTGACCTGTGTTCCATGTGTTGTTGCAGGAGGCCCAGGGCAGGTCCCAGGTGAAGGAGTAGGACAGGTAGAAGATGGCCCAGGCCAGGACGATGATGTAATAGAAGTTCAACAGAGCCACAATGACTTGTGTGGCGTAGCCCACTCCTGCAGCAAGGACAAAGGGGAGCATTGTGGTTAGCTATGATAATGCCATTCAATGTTGAATACAATGACACATGAATACAACGACACACACATGAAAACCATGACTTCATTCGCATTGCTTTTGCATGTCCAACTCCACCATTTCTCACCCGGTAGCCTATCTGGCTACAGTCATATTGTCCTTCTTGGGGGGCCAATTGAATTATGAAAGCGATGGATACTTGGAAGTCTGCCAGTGTTGGTGGAATGCCAACCATTACATCAACCCCCTCCTACTAGCCTACATACTGGCAGACGCATGCACAAACACACACATGCACTCACACACACGCACTCAGATCGTTCTCAGAATTCCTTCTCTTATTCTATTCAGTAATGTAGACAGGCAGCAGACATGCCTGGGTGTAGTTACCTTGAAAGGCATTCCTATACAGTGCACATTAAACAAAATGGAGTTCTAAACAGTAGATGTGAGAGGATGATCACCTTCAAACAGTGGAGTGATCTTCCTCCAGCAGGTAATGCCTCCCTCGCTGGTGAACTGTCCCAGGGCTGTCTCCAGGAAGAACACTGGGATCCCACAGGTGAACAGGAAGATGAGGTAGGGGATGAAGAAAGCACCTGTTTGATAGAGGGGGAAGAAGAGAAGTTAACAAGGTGTTTACGCATGCACTAGAACTCCCCTGTGATATGAGGTCAGAAGAGATAACCAATCAACAAGGACGCTTTTGAGGCAGCATTTCATGGCTGGACATTAAAATTGCAATATCCCAAAGGTACCTATAAATGCTACCTTGATTTTCAATTTTTTTTTAAGTCAGCATCTTCGCCGGGTAGGACTTCTGTTTGGAGTCCCCGTTTGGAGAAACATTTCCAGAAGAATGAGGAGTGACTTTGTAAAATGTGAGTATTACATTTATTTATTCAGCAAATATAATAATAATAATAATAATATGCCATTTAGCAGACGCTTTTATCCAAAGCGACTTACAGTCATGCGTGCATAAATTTTTTGTGTGTGGGTGGTCCCGGGGATCGAACCCACTACCTTGGTGTTACAAGCGCCGTGCTCTACCAGCTGAGCTACAGAGGACCACCCATATTAAAATGTTGATCACATTTTTGGGACAATGGCGAGTTTGCTGTTATCAACCCGCTAACCAAGCGAGCTAGCTAACGATTCAATTTGACCAAGATATTAGAAATGGGAGCTAGACATATAGGCCTACCCACTGGGCAAAAACTGGTTGAATCAACATTGTTTCCACGTCATTTCAGCCAAAAATTATATGTGATGACTTTGAATCAACGTGGAAAATTGATTGGATTTGCAAAAAGTAATCAACATAAGGGAATTTCGTTATTTTTTTACTCAACTTTTTACCTAAATTTACATTTACATTTACGTCATTTAGCAGACGCTCTTATCCAGAGCGACTTACAGGAGCAATTAGGGTTAAGTGCCTTGCTCAAGGGCACATCGACAGTTTTTACCTAAATCCAATGACAGGGTGACATTTTTGGTTGATTTCGCATTGAATTCACATTAGTTGACAACTCAACCAAATGTAAATCAAACCTAGACGTTGAACTGACATCTGTGCCCAGTGGGTATGCATCAACCATTTTTCCTGATGAAATGATAAAGTATCTTCACCTTAAAGGTCTAGAGATATACAAACTATCAAGTATTATACAAACTATTAAGAGACCCAGAACTACTTTGTGCACTTGAGAAAAGTTGCTCCAGAGAAGAAACAAAGACAACCTTAGTCAACAGCAATGAACTTTAAACCTTGACCTGGGCAAGCCCCCGACCAGCTTGACATCAGAGTATCACATAGCGTAGCCCAACCAACAATACAGTAGGACAGCCAGTATGTATTTATCCCTAATTTCACAACATATTGGCATATAACATTTTTTTTTACGTAAACGAGCAATTCCAAAGTATTCAGCCTGTTGAAAAACTTGCCAATAATTGGTGCCTCCATAATGTTGTTGGATATAACAAATTCAACGAAACTAGTGTTGATCTTATGACTTCTTGCCAACCCAAACAGGAGTGTGTTGTTTGCTACTATTGGATTGCATGTTTAATATGTTTTATGAATCTAGTCTTGGCAGGCAGCAAAGAAGCATAAATACATATACATCTAAAAATAGCAATTGTTATACACACTGTGATGTTAACACCCACCTCCTCCATTCTTGTAGCACAGGTAAGGGAAGCGCCACACATTGCCCAGTCCTATGATCTCCCCGGCAACAGAGAGGACAAACTCCACCTTGTTGCCCCACTGGCCCCTCTCCTTCATCTTCTCATCGCTCTGCGGCACAATGTCCAGGGGTCGACTGTGGTCGTTGGAGGGGTCCATCTTGGGCAGGCTCTCCATGTCGCCTGAGGAAGCAACACGTTAAAGTGAGTTTAGGAGAGGTTGGACACTGGGAGAGTACCGCTATTGTGCATCATTATATAGGCTAACCCCACAGCCTTGTATTGACTGTGTAGTTATTGTGAGCAGGGGAGGGGTTTCTATGTATCTTTATCCCACCACTCCCAGATCAATAGGCTTATCATAAAGTAAACACAACATTACAGTCCCTAAGCCTCCCTGGGGACCATCTCCTGGAAATGAAGAATGGGAGGAGACAAAGGCCTTTGAATGTGGCTCAAGAACATGGGGGTTATAGGGGACATTATATGGACTCAAACTCTAAGTCATGCAGACTCCTAAGACAACAGCATAGAATACTAAAAACGAATGCAAAACTTCAGCTGTGCATGCATCCCCTTTGAATGTTTGGAACAAAGGTCAAGCAGCAAGAGGTGTGAGACAAGGAAGAATTTCAAGACTTTCTGTAGTTCTCATGGAGGATTTATGGCAGGCACGAAAGTGTCAAACATCAAGTGGTGGGAAAAGTAAAGATACCTTAATAGAAAAGGACTCAAGTAAAAGTGAAAGTCACCCAATAAAATACTACTTGAGTAAAGGTCTAAAAGTATTTGGTTTTAAATATACTGAGAACGCCAAGTCTCAAGTATCAAAAGTAAAAGTAAAAGTACAAATCATTTCAAATTCCTTATATTAAGCAAATCAGGCGGCACAATTTCTTTTTTTTTGTATTTACGGATAGCCAGGTGCACACTCCAACACTCAGACATAATTTACAAATGAAGCGTTTATGTTTAGTGAGTCCACCAGATCAGAGGCAGTAGCGATGACCAGGGATTTTCTCTTGATAAGTGCGTGAATTCAACCACTTTACGGTCCTGTTAAGCATTAAAAATGTAACGAGTACTTTTGGGTGTCAGCTAAAATGTATGGAGTAAAAAGTACATTATTTTCTTGTAGTGGAGTAAAAGTAAAAGTAGTCAAAAATATAAATAGCAAAGTAAAGTATAGATACCCCAAACGACTACTATATAGTACTTTAAAGTAGTTTCACTTAAGTCCTTTACACCACTGCAAAACATGCATAGTCAAATTGACATGTCATTTATGCCACTCTGTCTCTCACTGGCTAGAATGGGTCCCCGGCTGTACGAGCTGGACAACTCGTAGCCGGCCAATGTTTAGGGCCAGTGATGCTGAAAGAGTTTCTCTCTGTGCAGGAAACAGAGAGCTCACTGACCGTGCTCACTGCTCTCATGTCTCATTAACAAGGCCTCTCGCTGCCCTCTCTCTTTCGCTTTGTTTCTCTTTCACTCTCTCTCTCTCCCTTCTCTCTCTTCATCCCTCTCTCTCACTCTTTCTCTCGCCCCCTCGCTCTTTTTCATCTCGCTATGTCACTCTATCTCGCTCTCTGCCACCCTTCTCTCTTCCTCTCTCCACTTTGGCTAGTCCAGTGGCCAGTCCTGTCACAGATCAAACCAAACAAATTAAAGTTGAGTTTAGGTCCGCAAAAACAGGAGAGATGGCTACCCCGCTGTGCCAGAAGCCTTGGGAATGCGCTCTCAGCTCAGCTCAGCCTCTCGCTGGCAGAGCAGGGTGGGGTGGATCGGATGGAGTGGAGAGAGCAAACATTTTCTGAGCCTGGGCCAAATTGTGGCCAGCGGTAAAAATAGAGTCCCTTGTTTTCAGAAGGTGCTTGGTGGGAATGAAGGCTTTGCATCCTAAAGGACTGGAGCCCCTTATTGGCCAGGGGCTTCTTTGTGCTGCTGTGAAGGAGAGGAGAGCTCCAGGCTGCCAGGAAGCCTGATCACACTTTACCTTCGTTTTCACAGGCTCAGTGTGGGCCAAGGGGGCAGTGTGAGCCACAAGCGAAATTCCTTCACACTGAGATCTCTCCAGACTCCAGTCTAGGGGAGCAGTCCCCACTTTTTTTTTACTAGGTGAGAATAAATATTTGCCACATTTTTAGTAACAGGACAGGACAGAAATTGCCACTTTGCAGATAGATGTTTACAGAGAAGCTAGGGGAAGTGTGGGCTGTGAGAAATGAAGACCAAGACTGAGGAGGACTGAGCACGCCAAGCCTCAAGCCAAGCCACTGGGCCAGCATTCACGTCTCTCATAAAGGCCTGCACTATAACAGACTCACTGACTGACTACAGCGGGTAGCTGACTGGATATCACTCTTTCTGTCACCGTACTGATGGAAAGTCACAAAGCTGCTTTCCACCCTTTAGTCATCACTTTGATGATCAAAACACAACACAATATAGCTAACTACGATGTTAGGCTTTCATCATGGTTTGTGTTTAGGCTACAGTTAGTTATTTCAATCATCGACAGACCATAGATGGATGAAGGACTACAGATTTCAGAAAAAAAAGAAGCATGCTTCTAAGTGTTATATGTCACAAATAATCAAAACCCTTAAGTTGTGCCCGATCAATATATTGTTTCACCAATATATCGATATTGGACAATAATTCCATGATATTCTACAAATAGGATGAAAAAAAGTATGTTCCTTTTTTCAACTTTATTATTATGGTTAGGAGGCTCAAACACTAAGTTACCACAGGATAACGGCAAGTCACTTTCTCAGCAAAACCTCTCACAGACCTAGCCTGGTTCCAAATGTGCATGTGCTTCAGAAAAGAGAACAGAGCTGTGAAGGAAGGACTGCTCAGCTGCAGTGTTTATCCTGTAAAACCCAGGGGTTATTATTTGACTGTGCGTGCATGTTTGTGTTCATGTTGTGTTCCTAATGTAGTGTCAGAATCTGTTTGTGGGTTTGGATGCGTTTGTGTGTTCATGTGTGTTCAATCATGTGGTTTTCCTAGGTGTGGACTGATGCTGGCCCTCAGATCTTATTCTCCTATGTCATTGGCACCTATGCTGCTATGGAATTCATGAAATGTGAAATAATCAATGGCTGTTGTGAATATAGGTGATTACGATTCTTGGCATCATAACAACGATAGTCAGAGGAGTTGGACTGGAAGTTCCAACAGAATCACCTATATTCACAACAGCCCTATTTTCCTGACAGTTTTTCCTTAGGCGTTATAGGTGTGCCACAAAGCACCGCAGGTTACCGTTAATGTTGGCACACAAAGCAGAAAAATATTTGAATTTTGGAACTAGATGTACACTTGTTTGAAGAACGATATAGCATGTCATCACATCTACCAGCGCTGAGAGCCCACTGTAGCTGTTATTTCCATTATCTATGCCTAAATTGGTTTTAGGTGGTTTTAACGACCAGTTGATATACACTGAGTATACAAAACATTAAGAACACCTGCTCTTTCCATTACATAGACTGACCAGGTGAATCCAGGTAAAAGCTATGATCCACTTCAATAAGTGTAGATGAAGGGGAGGAGACAGGTTGAAGAAGGATTTTTAAGCCTTGAGACAACTGAGACATGGATTGTGTATGTGTGCCATTCAGAGGGTGAATGGGAAAGACAAAATATTTAAGTGCCTTTGAACTGAGTATGGTAGTAGGTGCCAGGCGCACCGGTTAGTGTCAAGAACTGCAACGCTTCTGGGTATTTCAAGCTCAACAGTTTCCTCTGTGTATCAAGAATGGTCCACCACTCAAAGGACATCCAGCCAACTTGACACAACTGTGGGAAGCATTGGAGTCAACATGGGCCAGCATCTTTAATCCTTCGACACCTTGTAGAGTCCATGGCACAACGAATTGAGGCTGTTTTGAGGGAAAAAGGTGAGGGGGTGCAACTCAATATTAGGAAGGTGTTCCTAATGTTTGGTCTGCTCAGTGCACTTAACGCAGTCATAGCGTTGCCTCTGTGCTTCTTTATTAAGAGACCTCATAACATAATAATACTCAGTCAATCAGTTAAAGACACACTGACAGATGACAGACTGTAAAGTCTCCAAACGTCAGGTTTATGCACATGTTAACTGTTAACGTTTGTACAGTGGAAAATGCCAAGCATGATCTCAGTTACCTGGCATATTCCAACACGCTAGAAGAATGTAGTATTTTCAGATTGCCTGGCAGGTGTATTGGATTTCAATTATGCAACCCATTACCAAACCCATTTTAAAATTATAAAAAAGTTAGATGATTTAACATCTCTGATAAAATTATTCAACAAATCTGTCTGGAATTATTTAACTTTTTATTTAAGACTTTCCATTGTATGTGTGATACTGTACATCAATGTTCAAATTCTCCAATATCTGAGTCCCATTGTTTGTTCGAGATAAGTTAAGTCAATACTTAGATCTGGGTGAAAACCCACCATATTGATTGTGATCAAAATGTACTGTCAAGGCACAAGTTCCTGGATCAGTTGAGGACACAACTAAGTGAAAACCACCAGTGAAAATGAAAACAATGTAATTGATTTCCACCACAGGATCAGATCAGATATGCTAATAGGGCCCCATATCATAGAGCTAAAAAGCAGAATGTTTTAAGAACCAGAAAAATACAAACCACATTCAAAACTATTACTAAAACTATTACTGTACTCAATCTATTTGTATGCCCCTCACTCTGTCCGTCTGACAGAACAAAACAATAATATTCTAGATCGGTCCCATTATCCAGAAAAGTGCAGCAGCTAAGGATGGGCAACATACAGAGAATGACTTCCCCTGTGGCTCTGACTGCATCTATTATGGTAACACATTACATATGGATGATCTCACTGTATTCCTGTTGAGTAATTCTGCAGTTACTCTAGCAACAATATTATATCAACAATATTGTTGCTAAGCTACAATTACTAAGCTACAATACAGTACAATACAATCTTGTAATTGCATGATGGAGTTGGGGGATGGTCCCACTTTAAAATAACTACAACTTATAAATGCTTTATATAGCACACATAGTCTTCGTAAGCATGGCATAAACCCAAACTATCTATAAGCTTATGTCTTTATGTATTAAGGGTGTATAAAGGGTGACATAACATCTCCTTATGTAGGTTGCATTGCCAAATAAGCCAATATAAATGTAACTCTAAAGACAAAAGAGCAAGGTAATTCATGCATGCTTCCAAAGTTATTCATTAGCCAAGGTTAACCAGGTCAGTAGGTATTGTTAATAATAATCCCTATACAGTAACACATTGCATTTAAAATGGTTTAGATGTTTAATGCATTTGTATGTGGTCACCAATAGAAGAGCTGTCAACCTTCACTTCTTAGAGTATATCCATGACTTGAATATCTTAAAGACTGGACACGTTCCATGGACATGAGCTCCACTCAATAGATCAACTATTCCGAACATCAGCTACAGTTTTCAACATTATACAATCAGAAAAGTGCCAAATAATGTGTCACCAAATGCCCCAATAAGGAAGCATCACCAAACCAGATGAGATATCTTCATAAAGACAAACCAAGCATGAAGCAGAGCCAACATCTAGGATTCCACAATACTCACAGAATATTCATTAAACTTAACCATTGAACAAACTGTTATTTTTAGAAGAGCCAAACTCATGCCAACCTAAAATAAAGCAGGAAATATGTCACTGTAATTGTGCATGATGCTTTCATCAGTACAGATGCATGAGAAAGTAAGCATTTTCTTCACCCAGTGGTACTTACCTTTCATAGTGATGTAAAGACAGTCTTATGGTTTGAATGGTTAGCCAGATATTGGCCTGTTGGTGTCCAGGTTTCACTATATAACGTGCATGGAGGGGTGGGGATCTCGGTAACTCCAAACCGTAGTTCAGCCTTTAATGAGCTTCTCGTCTACTTTGCTCTGCACCCTCTTCTACCCCCCCCCCCCCCCCCCCCCCCCCTCCTCTAGTCCCATTCAGAAACCCCTACACACTCTCTCTCACACACAAACACACACACGCTCCATGCAGCACACTAGAGGTCTGTGCCGTCTCAGTGTGGTGGGCCGATTGCATAACCTTCAACACACATTCTCCCAGGGTCTCTCTTTCGGCCTATACACTCTTAGAATAAGGGTACGGTATCGTTCCCTTGGGTACAAAAATATCAAAATACACATAATGTACCATCAGAGGTACACATAATGATCTCACATTTTAGGGTACACACAGAGTATAATGGTAAATGTTTGTACCCTATATTTTGAATATAAAGGTACAATCATCACAGTCTCACTTACAAAAATTGGGTACAATGTGAAGGTACATTTCTGTTTCCCAGGGTAAAAACGATTTTTTTGTACCCTCAATATCCTTAATAATACCCAACATAAGGTACAATTATGAATTTTTGCCACCTCAAGGGAACTAATGGCTTTGTCGCTGGGGTGGTACCCCAAAAAAGGCAAATTTGTACCATAATTATTATCATCATCATATAATAATAAGCCATTTAGCAGACGCTTTTATCCAAAGCGACTTACAGTCATGCGTGCATAAATTTTTGTGTATGGGTGGTCCCGGGGATCGAACCCACTACCTTGGCATTACAAGCGCCGTGCTCTACCAGCTGAGCTACAGAGGATCATATCACATATGCTCTACTGCAGGTTAATGAATGAATGTGTTTTTGCATGTACATTGATTGATTGATTAATCTTATGCTACACAAAGATACATAACATACATTTTTCTCAACTAATCGAATCAGTTAGTTAGATTGTTTGCACCCTTTAGTGAAATGGTTGTCCAGCTTAAACCCTTACAGTCATTATGAATGCAGGTTGCAGGTGAATAAAAATTCCAACTGTTGGATATCCTAACTTTGGCTGGATTCCAATAGGAATTGCAAATCACTTTGCAAGCCAGCATAATGTGACTTGCAGGTAGGGTTGCACATTTCTCGTAACGTTCACAAACTTTCCCAAGTTTTCCAGAAATCCAGGTTGGAAAAGTCCTGGAAACAGTAGGGAATAAGCAGGAATTCCTTCAAGCAGGATTTTTTGAAAATCTGGGAATTTAGCAAGCCTACTTGCAGGCCTGATGTGGCCTGTAACCCAGGAGTTTCAGGCTGTTGTATTAGCGTTAAGCTACACCTCAAAATAAGCCCTTAAGAAATATTTGATGTAGTGGCATAAGAGTTTTGATTCTAATGATAATATACTGTATGCCCAGGAACTCACTTGGTGTAGCTCACAGGACAAAAAATGAACTAATTCAACAACATGTCTCTGTCACTAACAAATACAGTCATGGGTGGTAACTCAACAATGCACTCGAAAAGGCAAGGCACATTGGGAAATTATATTGGAGGCGTGGTTTACTGCGAGAATGGCTTTCAGATTGTTCTTTTGGCCACCCTTTATTGGAAGTGTTGTGCCAGTTTAACTGGTCTATGGTAGAGGTACATTTTTGCCACTTATAAGGAACAAATGGCTTTGTGACTGTGGTTGTACTATATAAAGGTCAAACAGAAATGTGCATCCTGTAGCACTAACTCCAAAAAGTTTTGGGACACTGTAAAGTCCATGGAGAATAAGAGCACCTCCTCCCAGCTACCCACTGCACTGAGGCTAGAAAACACTGTCACCACCGATAAATCTACGATAATCGAGAATTTCAATAAGCATTTTGCTATGGCTGGCCATGCTTTCCACCTGGCTACCCCTGCCCCGGCCACCAGCTCTGCACCCTCCGCTGCAACTTGCCCATGCCCCCCCCCCCCCACCCCCCCGCGCTTCTCCTTCACCCAAATTCAGATAGCTGATGTCCTGAAAGAGCTGCTAAATCTGGACCCCTACAAATCAGCTGGGCTAGACAATCTGGACCCTTTCTTTCTATAAATTTGGCGCCAAAATTGTCGCAACCCCTATTACTAACCTGTTCAACCTCTCTTTCGTATCGTCTGAGATCCCCAGAGATTGGAAAGCTGCCGCGGTAATCCCCCTCTTCAAAGGGAGTGACACTCTAGATCCAAACTGTTACAGACCTATATCCATCCTGCCCTGCCTTTCTAACCTTTCGTAGGTTAGGGATTCCTATTGTGCCAGTTGATGTGCCCTTCCCTATACATGCCCTAGATAGTCGCCCTTTAGGGTCAGGTCTGATTAGGGAGGTCACAGCGCCACTCTGGATGAAGACGCAGGAGGGGCATGAGGAAATAATTAGTCTATATCTGATTGATTCTCCTGTGTTTCCAGTGGTGTTGGGGCTTCCCTGGTTAACTTCTCATGACCCCACTATTTCATGGCAACAGAGGGCTCTCAAGGGATGGTCAAGTCAGTGCTTGGGGAGGTGTGTAGGTGTTTCCGTAGGGGCAACTACGGTGGAAAGTCCAAACCAGATTCCAACCATGCACATTCTGCCTGAATATGCCGATTTGGCTCTCGCCTTCTGTAAAAAGAAGGCGACTCAATTACCACCCCATCGACAGGGGGATTGTGCGATAAACCTCCAGGTAGGTGCTGCACTTCCCCGGAGTCACGTGTATCCTCTGTCACAGGAGGCTATGGAAACATATATCACCGAATCTCTGAGACAAGGATACATTTGGCCATCCACTTCCCCTGTGTCATCGAGTTTCTTTTTTGTGAAGAAGAAGGATGGTGGCTTACGCCCGTGCATTGACAACCGTCGTCTAAATCAGATCACTGTAAAATACAGCTATCCATTACCTCTGATTGCGAGCATGACGGAGTCATTGCACGGGGCGCGCTTCTTCACGAAATTGGATCTCAGGAGCGCGTACAACCTGGTGCGTATCCGGGAGGGAGATGAGTGGAATACGGCATTTAGTACCACCTCTGGGCACTATGAGTACCTCGTTATGCCATACGGTTTGATGAATGCTCCTTCAGTCTTCCAATCTTTTGTTGATGAGATTTTCAGGGACCTGCATGGACAGGGTGTAGTGGTGTATATTGATGACATTCTCATATACTCCGCTACACGGGCCGAGCATGTGTCCCTGGTGCGTCAGGTGCTTGGTCGACTGTTGGAGCATGACCTGTATGTGAAGGCGGAAAAATGTCTGTTCTTCCAAGAGTCCATCTCCTTCCTAGGACACCGCCTGTCCGCGTCAGGTGTGGAGATGGAGATTGACCGCATTTCGGCCGTGCGTAATTGGCTGACTCCAACCACGGTGAAGGAGGTGCAGCGATTCTTGGGTTTTGCCAATTACTACCGGAGGTTTATCCGGAGCTTTGGTCAGGTAGCGGCTCCCATTACCTCCTTGCTAAAGGGAGGACTGGTGCGTCTACAGTGGTCAGCTGAGGCGGACAGGGCTTTTGGGCATCTGAAGGACCTGTTTACTTCGGCTCCGGTGCTGGCTCATCGGGATCCCTCCTTGGCATTCCAGGTTGAGGTGGACGCGTTCGAGGCTGGGATTGGAGCTGTACTGTCTCAGCGCTTGGGTACGCCACCAAAACTCCGCCCCTGTGCTTTCTTTTCCAAGAAGCTCAGTCCGGCGGAGCGCAACTATGATGTGGGGGACCGGGAGCTGTTAGCTGTGATTAAAGCTCTGAAAGTGTGGAGGCATTGGCTTGAGGGGGCTAAACACCCTTTTCTCATTTTGACTGACCATCGTAATCTGGAGTACATCCGGGCGGCGAGGAGGCTGAACCCTCGTCAGGCAAGGTGGGCCATGTTCTTCACTCGTTTTGTCTCACTTACAGACCAGGTTCCCAGAACGCTAAGGCAGACGCCCTGTCCCGACTGTATGACACAGAGGAGAGGTCCATTGAGCCCACTCCCATACTTCCGGCGTCGTGTCTGGTGGCACCGGTAGTGTGGGAGGTTGACTCGGACATCGAGCGGGCGTTACGTACCGAGCCCACTTCCCCCCAGTGTCCAGAGGGTCGGATGTACGTGCCGCTCGAGGTTCGTGATCGATTGATCTATTGGGCTCACACGTCACCCTCCTCTGGTCATCCTGGCATCGGTCGGACAGTGCACTGTCTTAGTGGGAAGTACTGGTGGCCCACTTTAGCCAAGGACGTGAGAGTTTATGTTTCCTCCTGCTCGGTGTACGCCCAGTGTAAGGCACCTAGACACCTGCCCAGAGGGAAATTACAACCCCTACCCGTTCCACAACGGCCATGGTCCCACCTATCGGTGGATTTTGTGACGGACATTCCCCCGTCACAAGGGAACACCACGATCCTGGTCGTTGTGGATCGGTTTTCCAAGTCCTGCCGTCTCATTCCTATGCCAGGTCTCCCTACAGCCCTACAAACTGCTGAGGCCCTGTTTACACACGTCTTCCGGCACTACGGGGTACCTGAGGATATTGTGTCGGATCAGGGTCCCCAGTTCACCTCAAGGGTCTGGAGGGCGTTCATGGAACTTCTGGGGGTCTCGATTAGCCTTACCTCAGGTTTTCACCCCGAGAGTAATGGGCAGGTGGAGAGAGTTAACCAGGATGTGGGTAGGTTTCTGCGGTCCTATTGCCAGGACCGGCAGGGGGAGTGGTCGGATTATATCCCCTGGGCAGAGATGGCCCAAAACTCACTCCTCTACTAACCTTACGCCTTTCCAGTGTGTGTTAGGTTATCAGCTGGTCCTGGCACCTTGGCATCAGAGTCAGATCGAGGCTCCTGCGGTGGATGAGTGGTTTCGGCACTCAGAAGAGACCTAGAACACTGCTCATGTACACCTGCAGCGGGCAATCAGGCGACAAAAGGCGAGCGCCGATCGCCACCGCAGTGAGGCTCTCGAACCGGAACCTGCCCCTTCGCCTGCCCTGCTGGAAGCTGGGTTGGCGGTTTGTGGGGCCATTTAAAGTCCTGAGGAGATTGAACGAG